CACCTGTGAAGTTCAAAACGTCTAGTTGCATCTAAGCTGTTCATTGTATTCCGTGCTTTCCCTCAGATTTCTAGGTCTTCATAATCCAGTCAACTACGAGAGGCAATAGAGAACGTGAGGGTAGAAAGCCTTGTCTGACACCAGTGCTCACTTAGAATGCATCTGCCAGCTGTCCTCCATGCACGACTTTGCACTGTAGTCCGTCGTATGAGTTCCGGATGATGTTAACGATTTTTCGAATAAGTTTCCATAAGGTTCTCCTGTCCACACTGTCAAACACCTTCTCATAATCAAGGAAGTTGTTGTATGGTGACGAGTTCCATTCGATATATTGCTCAACAATGATCCGTAGTGTCAAGATTTGGTCTGTGCACGACCGATCCTTAAGGAATCCAGCCTGTTGATCTCAAAGTTGGGCGTCTACTAAATCTTTCACCCAGCTCAGTAACACTCTGTTGAAAACTTTTCCTGGTACCGATAGTAGTGTGATGCATCTGTAGTTTTTACATTTGCTCAGATCTCCTTTCTTTGGCACCTTGATGAGATATCCTTCTTTCCAGTTCAACGGCACTTGTTCTTCCTCCCAAATCTTCCTGAATAGAATGTAGAGCATCTTCGCCGTTATTCTATGTTCGACTTTAGTACTTCACCTGGTAAGTTGTCAGGTTCTGCTGCTTACCCACTCTTTATTTGTATGATGGCCATCCTGATTCCTTCGAAAATTGTTGGAGTGACTGTTATGTCCCGATAACAATAGTGAATGGTACGTTTGGGATCTATTTATGAACCAATATTAGGCATATTTTTTTATCGTATAATTGCAAAATAACTAAACTATTCGTATCCATGTTCCTTTTATCATGAGCTTTAAACTAATATTAAACGATCTACCATTCTTGAGTTATCCCTAGTCTATTAATTACTGCCTCTCATATTCACAGCCACATTCGGCTAAATCTTGTACAAATGTTATTTTCTGTTTTCTTGGTACGATGTGGTCAGTCTGTTTGGTATATAAACTCAGTATGTTTGAAATACAAGGACTCATACCGCAGAGGCTGTTAATGGTGTTCTGGACTTAACTGACTGGGCTAGGCAGAAAGCAGGACCGATACGTACTCTAGACTGCTCGTACGGTTTTCGTGTGTCACTGTTCCAATCGATCATTCGCTGATCTCTGATTGGCGGTCTTATCACGTCATACGTTAACAGGGCATCCACTCGGCCACAAGTTATAGCATTAACATTGATAGGAGGGTCTGTAGGTGCGGCTTCGATGTCCGGTAAACTCAACGAAACTAGACTATTCAACACTTCCTCAAAGTTTTCTATCCATCTGTTCCTCTGTTCTTGAATATCAGTGATTGCCTTGCCTTCGTTGTCTTTGATCGATCTCTATGATTATGTTCCCTGCCAGTTTCTTCGTTATATCATATAGTTGTCTGATATTTCCTACTCTTGTGGCTTTTTCCGCTGTCATTCCTAGGTTTTCCACGTGTTTCTATTTGTTAGCTCGAATGTACTTCACTTGCTTGTTTGCCTCTGCGTAGTCGGCGTGGACCTTGAATTTCTCTGGTCGTTTTCGGCTAGTGTTAATTGCTGTCTTCTTGTTCTTCCTTTCTTGAATCTTGTCTAGGGTTCCCATAGAGATCCATTCCTTACGATGATACTTCTTGCGACCCAGAACCTCTTGACATGTTGAAGTTAATGCTTCTTTGATCCTTTTTCAGTTGTCCTCCATAGTAGTTTCTTCTTCCTTCAGTAGATCTTGAAGGCGTGGAACCAGTTTTTGAGGGTTATCTTGAGTTGGTTGAGTTTGTCATTATGTCGTAGGAAGGCTGTATTGAATATTTCTAATGTTGTTTCCCCAGTTTTCCAGTACCTCTTAAGCTTCAGATTCATCTTGGCAATCACCAAGTAGAGATCTGAAGCTATGCTAGCTCCTCTTCTGGTTCTCACGTCTTCCTCTATTCTTTCGAATTTTCTTATTGATACATATATGATTTATCTGGTTCTCCGTGGTGTGATCCGGTGAGATCCATGTAGCTTTCTGCATGCGTTTGCGTGGGAATATTGTGCCACCTATAACCAATTTGTTGAAAGAACATAGGTTTGCGAATCTCTCACCATTCTTATTCCTTTCTACCAGTCAGTTCATGTCGTCCCATTATATCTTCATATCCGATGTGGTCCATTCCGAATTTGGCGTTTAGATCTCCAATCAGGATTGTCAGATCCTTTCCTGGGCACTTCGATATAATCGATTGCAGCCTCTAGTAGAACTGATCTTTAATGTCGTCGTTGCCATCAATGCTGGGTGCATAACATTGGATAACATTCATTGCGATCCCCTTCTTCTTTGTTTTGAATGATGCTTTGATAATTCAGGATCCATGAGATTCACATCCTAAAAGTGCATTTCGTGCTTCTCTGGACAGCATCAGGGCAACTCCCTGAGTGTGCGGAGCATTTTCTTCTTCGAGACCAGAGTACAGAAGCATCTCCAGAATCTACCCTTTCCTGTCCAGCTTGAGTTCAATAGGTTTCACTGATTCTCAGAACATCCAAGTTGCATCTCCTCATTTCCGTTGCTATTTGACTGGTCTTCCCGGTCTCCCACATTGTCCATGTACCTATAAAAATTGTTACTCTGGTTGTTAGAATAAGGATCGGCCTCGTGGCTTCCAATGAATCTCGGCTTTCATACTGAAGCGCCATCGATCCTCCTTCAACTCCCAAGGCAGAGTGTAGTATCATTCTATATGTTAAGCCCATATACTTTATTCTAGCTACTGGCCAAGCTAATTCACCTATACATTATGAGTCATATTTTGATCTTGTTAATTATTAGCTTATTAACCTTGACTACTTTTTATATGAGCGTATATATGTGCACACTTCGTATCTTATTCATCATATGTCTGTCATTCATTTTTGTCTGGCTATAAATATTGAGCAATGCTTGCTCATAGCGAGTTGGCTTCCCAGCCATCTCCACGGCATGTCATTTATGTTCCGCTCTCATCTATTTGCTTCATCACTCTGATTCCCTGGTCAGGTCAATGAGTGTAGAAAATATTCATATTCTAAATCCATTCTCCTATTTGACGTATTTAACTCCGTTGTTCACCAACTCGGATAAAGTCATTTATTACATACGAGGATAGACGGTACGTACGATCAAAAAGGAATCAGATTTAAGCTACTACAACAAGAGTTTTAATGGTTTGAATTATTTTTCTGGCTAATGTTTTTTAGAGAGTCTTTTCTACGGGATGGTGTCGTTAACCCCATGCTCAACACTCCCCCTTTACCAGGGTTTGGGACCGGCAGTAACTCTGAAAGAGCTACAGGTGGAGTTTTAAGCTCGTAAACTGCCGTTTAACTATCTTCGAAAACTTTTAAAACATTTTATAATCAGGATGTACTAGACGACTCAGTGGTCTAAAGGTTAAGCGTTCACGCTCGCCACTAAAGTTCTAGGGTCCGATCACCGGTGGTTCGTTGATGAGCATTACTGAGAAGTCTGAAATTAGCATAAAACTACCGTCTAGTTCTAAGATGTGCGATTTATATATGGAGTCATATTGAAACCTGATCGCTAGAATATGATCATCATTCAAGATCACATATCAAGACCTTAGTAATTAACCAGTGATTAATTAACGGTGAGACCATAATTTCCGGACGATGTTCGAGCGACACTCAAATGACCTTGGGAATGTCCACCTACTTACCAGGGCTAAAAGAAAGTTACAAACCAATGTGAGGAATTAAGATCATGATTTACAGTTGATGGTTAGGGTAAGGAAATAGATTTAGAGTCTTCATCACGAACTGGCATTAGCTAAAAATTCATTCATTCATTTGGCCAAATGGATGAATGAATTTCGCGACAAAATCCAAAACCTATTATCCTAAATCTGATTGGTTCGTCCATAAATTATAGTCTTACCTAATTAACCAAAAAACCTTAGCTTTACGAAATTAGCTGCGACATGAGTATTTTGGCGATAATGTCTTTGACTATTATTTCGAGCGATGGTGATACGCATTCCACGGGGAAACAGTATTACTTGGGTACCGCAGATACGATTTGAAACGCGTCCAGTAGTTTCTATCTATTACCTCCAGTCACCGGATCTATAACAACTGCTTTGACGTGACTGGGCAGGTCTAAATATTCGTTTTTTTCTGATTTTATCTAAAAATCCAACGCAGAATTTATTACCTTAATGTAAACTGATTGTTTGAGTGTTTCCAAAATTACTTACATGAATAACAATCTGTTAATCATGAGTACCTCAACTGACATTAATAAACCATATATTCAATAATTTATTAGTAGAGTTGATTCAACTAAAGATACACCAATGATGTTTAAAATCATTATTCTATACAGTAGCCATTAAGGTTTTATAATTATCACTTCATTGAATCAACATTCTGAGTGCTGCGTGCATACTTTCTAGAACTCCACACTGTATAGGATGAATAGATTAGATATATCTTAACTGAAATTGCAAGTAATTCAACTGACCGAAGAGGACCATCGATAATAATTATCGTATTAAATTTAAGCAGCTACACCCAATGTTAGCTTTGATGCTTTGTGTAGAAAAATTTATCATAAAAATAGTTTTTGTTACAGACTAACATCAACTGTGGCATTAATGAGAAACAGAGACCATTGGTTATTTTTTGCTTGGGACTGCTAAACAATGTGAATTTACCAACATACAGATCTCCTGATTTAGTAGTGTATATGATACTCTACAACGACTTTATAACGATCCAATGGTCCAGTTTTTAATCCAGTGCAGAGCTGTGAGTACAAGCAACAATGGAACAGTTATCTGATGTACTCTGGTTCCCGTTAATGCTTCAAGTGATGCAAATCTTCCATTCTTGAATCGAAAATATTTTCGAAAAATGCAGAAATATAGCTATGCAATGATTATTTTTCTTTCGTTTATTTAAGAAAAAAAACAAAAACTAACCGATTCATTATATTCTGTGAACAAATATCTCCATTAAATATTGTTTTACTATTGATTTTTCTTCTTGCGTTATTATTATGAATATTATTATTTTTGGGAATAATGCTTCTTTCAATAAGACGATAATATAACAAAGCGAATGAGGAAATAGCCAATATGAACAATGACCACAAGATACAACATGTGATCAAAATAATAGTAGCTAATGAGTAATATGATACATTTGAAGTGAAGAGAAAACGTTTATAAGGTCATAGATCAATAGCTAAAGTTTAACTACATAGTACTAAATATTTTTTATTACAATGAACAATAAAACCACTTCACTGATTCTGTATCAATGATGAGAATGGTTTTTGTAGCTAAATGGTGTTGTCAGAGACATTTAAGTTAAATAACTGTTACAATTAGAACAATATGAATGTTGTTGCATTATTAATAAGTTTCCGATTGATTACACTTTTGCACATAAAAACATAATAAGTTGTGACATGTGTTGGAGAAATAACTGGTGGAAAGATTAATTAACGTGTTTATACGACATGTACACACCATTATATCTCTTGTCTTACTTGTTTCACTATGATGTATAAAAAACATTGACTACGAGAAAGCATTTGATAGAGTGGTCAGGACAACACTATGGAGGCATCTTCGATACTATGGCTTGCCTGAGAAGATGGTCAGCATCGTACGGAATTCCGATGATGGATTAAACTGCAAAATCGTGCATGGAGGACAACTCACTGACTCGTTTGAGGTAAAGACCGGTGTCAGGCAAGGTTGCTTACTCTTACCCTTTCTCTTTCTCCTGGTGATCGACTGGATTATGAAGGCGTCGATATCTGGGAGGAAGCACGGGATACAGTGGATAACTAGGATGCAGCTGGATAACTTAGACCTCGCAGATAATCTGGCTCTTCTATTGCACACGCAACAACAAATTCAGGAGAAGATGACCAATGTAGCAGCAGCCTCAGCAGCAGTAGGTCTCAACATACACAAAAGGAAAAGCAAGACTCTTCGATACAACACAACATGTAACAATCAAATCACACTTCACGGAGAAGCTTCGGAGGATGTAAAATCCTTTACACATCTGGACGGCATCATCGATGAGCATGGTGGATCTGATGCAGATGTGAAGGTGCGAATCAGCGAAGCAAGAGCAGCATATCTACAATTGAAGAACATCTGGAACTCAAAATAACTATCTGTCAACCAACACAGAGGTCAGGATTTTCAATACAAATGTCAAAACAGTTCTACTGTATGGGGTGGAAACTTGGAGAATCGCAAAAACCATCATCCAGAAAATACAAGTGTTTATTAACAGTTGTCTACGCAAAATACTTCGGATCCGTTGGCCAGACACTATCAGCAACAATCCGCTGTAGGAGAGAATAAACCAGATTTCAGAGGAGGAAGAAATCAGGAAGAAGTGCTGGGACTGGATAGGACACACTTTGAGGAAAGCACCCAACTGCGTCGCAAGGCAAGCCCTCACTTGGGATCCTCAAGGCCAGAGGAGAAGAGCAAGACCAAAGAACACATTACGTTAAGAAGTGGGGATAGACATGAGAAGAATAAACAACAATTGGATAGAAATAGAAAGGAAGACCCAAGACAATGGGTTGGAGAATGTTGGTCGGCGGCTTAGACTCCATTGGAGGGTAATAGGCGCAAGTAAGTAAGTAAGGAAGTAGCTGTATGATAATAAGATTAGGAAGTAGATCATTGAAAATGGTATTGATTGTGACATTTGCTGATCAAGGTCTGGTCTACAAGAAACCTATAACCTTTCTTACGATTGAGGATAAATTTTGCTTACGAATGCCAAATGTCGTAAGGCGCAGACAACTGTGCCAGCCTTTACAATTGATTGATCATTGGGTGGTGATCAATGTCATGCATGTCAGGTCTTTCTTAGTGCACATTTAATCCTATCCATCAAATTGCAATGTGGCCACCAGCCTAGGTGACTCGACGTTGCATGCACTTTATTTAGAACAGATGGTGGGTAGAAACCCTGTTGAATACCTCCAACCACCATCTTTGATGTGTCTGCCTGTTTTTTGCTTACTTCGCCAACATATTTCAATCAATACATTTTACATTGTAACAACGAATAACGTACTTATAAAGTGATTATTTTATTAATGATATGCAAACGTACTGTCAGTCAGTGTATGCCCATGAATTATTTTTGACGTGGTATATCCAAATTCCGTGTAAGTACGTAATTGAATACTGGCAATAGAAAACAACAATTAAAATGCATGAGATGACTTGAGTACAAACTACTGATGATAGACAAGAAGCAAAGAACAGTTGATTTCTTATGATTTAGGGCCTCTTAGCCTAATTTATTAATAAGTACACAAAAAATTGAACAAAAGTCATCAAATAAAGTGACAAGTATATCATAAATATTATTAGTACGTAAGCAAACAAATAAAAATTATAATTTCGTCAATACAAAGGACTAAGTTATCGGGTTACCTATCAAAATTGAATTGTTGAATATGAAATCTAGTTTAGTTGTGGACATGGTTCTTCTGTGTTGCTTACCTAGACAACGAAAGAGTTGACAGATGATACCAAATAGATTTTAGACTTTTGCTGAAATTATGGGGAAGTGCTACCCGTACACAATTTTTTGACATGGACTCTGCTCAAGCACAAAAATAAATACTGAGTATCATCTCAAGTTTGAAAATTTAAAATAACAGGGCCAGAACTTCAAGAACGACTTCTTGTTACAGGTAACTCAAATTTGGAACATTATTTCACTACTTGTCCACAAGCTCAAAAATTATTGCACTTGTATATAGACAGGACATCCCAATGTCTTCATACACACAGGAGTCTATTAAAATGTAACCGTAATTTATAATAAAGTTGAACGACTTTACGCATGATCTTTGGAATACTAAGCAATAGGAATAGCTGGGTCGTAATAGAGAGAAATTATAACAGTGGCGACGGGGTAAAAGAAAAACACATTCATCATGCCGATATCAGATGACTAGCTCAGACGAATACTACAACAACAGCAAGAACACCTTGATGCACAAATGCGGTTGTTGGGGTATCTGATGCAACAGTTTAATATCCACTACTCGAGTTTACGTGCTATTTCAAGTACTTCTTGTGATGCAGTTGCTAGCAGCATTCCAGAATTAATCTATGACCCGAACAGTGGGAATAACTTTTCCACGTGGTTCAAGCGTTGGGAAGATACATTTAGAATAGAACTTTGTAAACAAGATGACGCATGAAAGACTCCATTGTTGATGCGTAAGTTGTGAAGTAACGAACATGCACATTATGCTGAACATATATTGCCAAAGTTATTTCGAGAGCTCAGTTTTGAGGAGATGGTAACTCAATTGTCAGAGATATATGGTGAATCTTCCTCATTGTTTAGTATTCGATATCAGCGTCCAAATTTTGTGAAACCTGGAGCCGATGAAGATGGTGCTCTAGCAGACATCGTCAACAGAGAGCGTGAAGGGTTCAAGCTACACTCATTGACAGAAGACCAATTAAAATGCCTAATACTAATCAAAGCTCTTCAGTCACCACAAAGTGCTGAGAGGAGGACTAGACTTTTAACTCGGCTGGATCAAGACCCAGACGCCACACCCAGGACATTAACAGATGAGTGTAAACGGCTACATAACATCAGACACGACAATCGGCTAATTGAACGGGTAAATTCTAATTTAACCTGCAGTAGTGTCAATGTTATTACTAGGTCAAAAGCTCAGAAGCCGAATAAAACTCGTAACAAACCAACGACTGCCTGTTGGTTATGCGGTGATTGGCATTATGTACGATTCTGTCCATTTAAGAAGCATAAATGTCAGGAGGGCAACAGACGTGGACATAAAGAAGTTCATTGTTCATCGAATCGTACGTCGCAGCTCAAGAAGAAGAATAAACTTACTCGACACGTGGTGAAATCAGCCGAGTTTATATCTCTTTCTCTGATAGCCGCTTTTCAAACACGCTATGACATTTGAAGGAAGTATATAACTATCCAGAAAAACGGCAATATTAGCTTGTCTTCAAATTGACATGGCATCAAATATCACCCTAGTATCCAGAAAAACGTGTAACATGCTGGGAAAGCCGCCAATGATGTAATAGAAGAAAACGGCTTAAAAAGGCATCAGGAGGAGTACTAAGAATAGTGGGTAAATTTTCCTGGAATGGAACTAACTCTAAAGGGACATGCTATCTGACTGAACGGCTAACCTTGATCTCCTTGGTCTAGGTATGTTATAGGACTTAGAATAATGGACATACACATTAAGTGTCTGCAACCCCGACCGTTGCTGTTACCCTGAAGTGGTGGTCGAGCTTGCCTATCGTGATGAACAAATCGAGCCATACTGGCTGGAACAATCGTTCCTCAAGGTCCTACCATGCCAGAAAGTTCAGTTGAAGAGCGGCAAGACTAAAAGCAGCAAACCCAAGGTTTGAAGGCGAAGTCGTACTGCTGACTGTACAGAGGTGTAACGGCAGTAAGGTGTTTCCTTCAGACAACCAGCATAACAGCGATGCTGCCTTCCCACAAGGAGGGGTGTTGTTAGAAAAGGTCGACCGTAAAAGTGTACACTTCGCCTTATCCCACGAATATCCGTCTCCGGTGGTAAGGTCTCAACAAGTACGGAGCTCACACAAAAATTACCCACAAAAAGGTCGTGTGTGACTGACCTCAAGTAGTTGTCCCTTGGGTATTGTGGTTACGCTCTCAGGTCACTAAAACCACTTCTAATCTAATTTCCTTTTCAAGTACCTCTAGAAGAACCCTTCCACGGTTGGGCAACCGGGAAGTAATAACCGCCCTCATACCTCTAACAGCATTCAAGATTACTGTATTCATAACCAATCCCACTCTTCAGTTCCCATTATTCCTCCCACCTCGACACGCATATGTCTTTGGTGCTTCCTTGTACCAATATTTATGTGTTTAAATAAATAAAATAAATAAATCCCACCTCGACTTTCAACAATAAACTTCCTCTTTCGGTTTCCTCCTCAAGTGTCACTGTCCCATGTTTAATAAAAACCTCGCTCCAAACTACACAATGGAGCCTTCAACGTACGTACCCTATGTCCAATCAGCCAACAGGCCTCCTTGGCTAAAACTCTGGAATCTCGTTCCATTGATGTATGCTATGTCTCCGAAACATGCATACAGGATCCTGGTGTGGTCATTCACTTGAACCCATCTCGACAAAACGGAGAGCCGACGAGATACACCCTACGTGTATCTGGCGACTCGATGGCTAGTTCTCGTGGACTTGCAGGTGTAGGCATAGCAGTTAGTACGAGAGCAGTACAAGCCCTATCAGAATGTGTCGCGTCTGTGCTGTTCGACTAAATGGATCCGTAAGAACTCGGAAAGATAGGGAAACACGTCGTCACCTCTTCGTCTTTTCTGCCAACGCTCCCAGTGACTGCAGCCCGGATGAAGTGAAAGATGACTTTTACAGAAAGCTCTCTGAACTCCTTCATAAAGCTAAATGCTCAAATATAGTACTCGTTGCAGGTGACTTTAACGCTCAAGTAGGTAGCTTAAACCAAACAGAAAGACATTTAGGTGAGTATTTTAGTATTCCGGTTCAACGAACCGATAATGGTGATCGTCTGTTGCAACTATGCTCAGACAATCGTTTATTTTTAGCAAGCACTAATTTTAAGCATAAGGAGAGACATGGTCTGACATGGCGACCACCTGAACCAAACCAACGATGGACTCAAATAGATCATATTGCCATCAGTCATCGTTGGAGAGACTATCGCTCGTTCTGGAATACGTGTTTAGACTCTGATTGTGCTTTAATACTAGCACACATTTCCTTGCCCCTCACTGGACGCAGAAAAGCCATACTAAGAAGACCCATTAGGATTGAACTGGAGGACGAGAAAGTCAAATGTAAACTCCAGGAACAACTGATTTCACATTTAGGCAGTTCTGTAAACGAGACTGACCCAGATGCTGCTTGGAAAGATATATGGACAGCTGTGGAAACAGCAGTAGAAGTCTAAGGAACGATCGTGAGCAGTGGTGGGCAACGAAAGCAAAAGAGATGGAAAAGGCAGCAGCTATAGGCAACTCTTTAGACTAATAAAAGAAACCGAAATTAAGAAGTCAAGTGTAAGCGAGACGAACTCGGAAAAAGACGGAACCCTTATCTGCTCTGAGCCCAAACGTTTAGAACGATGGGCGGAACACTTTAGAGAACAGTTAAGTTGGACTTCAGCTACTCTACAGTTACCCACCATTCCTAAACAGTGTGAATGTAATATTGAAGTAGGTCGCCTGACTCTAGTTGAAGTTCAAAAGCATATAGCTAATCTCAAGCAAGAAGAGCAGCTAGCCCAGATGGATTGGCTCCTGAGGTCTTTAAATATGGTGGCCCTATTTTAGCGACTAGGTTGACTAAGATCTGGGAGTTGCACGTAATCCCATCTGACTGGTCGCAATCATTGATTATCCCAATATATAAGAAGGGGCCATCATCCTGTGATAACCATAGAGGGATTAGTTTGACCAATATAGCATCTAAAATACTAACCTCAATAATTATCGGTCGCCTAACTAAGACTCGTGAACTCCAAAGACGAGCAAACCAGGCTGGCTTCAGACTTGGTGGTGACTGTATCGACCACATATTCACTATTCGTCAGGTTTTATAACACAGGCATGCTTATCGGCGTCCGACAGTGATAGTTTTTCTTGACCTAGAAGCAACATTTGACCCTGTAGACTGAGAGGTTCTGTGGCAGTCTTTGTCATTGAAGGGCGTACCTCAGAAATAACATAAACCTTGTGGGGGCTCTTTACTCGAACACTACCAGTCGAGTGAGAGATTATGGCGAACTGTCATTTGATTTGACAACCTCAAGTGGTGCCCGACAAGACTATCCACTCTTTTCATTTTTGTTTAACTTGATCATAGATCTATTGCTAGAAATAACACTCGTCGACTGAATTTTGAGGAATTGATCTCCTACCAGGAGTTCCACTTATCGACTTAGAATACGCAAATGACATAGTTCTGTTTGGTGAAGATGCTGATAAAATGCAGTCTTTTGATAGCACTGGTTAACAATTCAAGGATATTCGGGTTGCGTTTCTACCCCTGTAAATGTAAATTGTTACTCCAGTTCTGATCAGTGTCAATACCTGAACTAAGGATAGGGAGTGAAGTAGTCGAACGCGTCGACAACTTCACTTATCTTGGAAGTCTGATCAGCAATAATGGGTTAGTGTCTGACGAAATCTCAGCACGGATTCAAAAAGCTCGTTTGGCTTTTGCCAACTTACGTCACCTACGGCAAAGGCGAGATATCCGTCTATCAATTAAGGGACGATTTCAATAAGTACCACGATATGTTAATACCAGGCGGTGACTTGTATGCATTTTCGCCAATGACTGATTCATAGAAGTGTCATGTAATATTTTCAATAATAAAACAATAAACTAACCTGTACTGTGTAGCGGGTTTTAGTGGGCCATTACATTCATGCGAATTATATAAACATACACCATTTTCACCGATTATGAAATATTTATCGGAATATAGATAACTTCCATTCATTTTGTAATCCATTGAACGTCGCGCACGCGCCTGACTTAATATCAACCGTGAATGTATAAGTATTTCCCATGATCCATTTTCTTTATTATGACGATTTTTGTACGTCTTTTTTATTAAGCGGATAAATACAAACAAGGCATCAATTTTCTTAACAATGCATAAACAATTCAACTAAATTTTGAAATTATTTTCCATTGGAGGTTGATATAGGATTATCATACATTATGTCAAACTAGTGTCTGTAGGCTGTCAAAATACTTATAGTTGTGCTCTAAAGCTCCAATAAAAATTGATTAGGAATGAGATCTGCTATATCTTCTATTCATATCTCATGTAGAATCACATATTTCTGCCAGTCCTATCAAACTAAACATTTGGCACATATAAGTATATGTAACAGTTGTTATTATTATTACCTCATTTCCAAGAACAACAAGAATATTTATAAAGCATGTGACGGTGAGTGACCACAACATAACCGGTGCCGTTAGCAGGAAACTTTAGCCTTTAGTTTCTTGACAGTTATTGTTATAGTTGTATTTGCTAATAAACGACCCAGCTACTCCTATTGCTTAGTATTCTTATACAATGACACTCAACAAGACCCCAAAATCAGAACACGTTGAACAGGAACGAAATTGTATTCAAAATAACAATGCTAAGTGAACAGCAATCACTGGTTTGAATAACGTTCATATATTTATAGTATATACATAAGGAGCTTCTAGATTTTTCTCCAACAATTTGCCAGGGCTGATTGGTTTAATATGAGCCGATGTCAATTAGTGGTGAAAATCACTCTCGAATGACACCGAATTTAAGTGACTGAACACTAACATCCAATCACTATGACACAACTAATTAGCACTACAAATTAAACATGTTAGGTTCGATCTTGAATCCAATATCTTCAATTCTGCTTATTTCTATATAACATTTCGTTTGTTGTCGATTCGTAATTTTAATCCCTCATTGCTACAAAGGTACTGAATACCACGGATAAATAGAAAATAAAAAAAATCACACTTGACTTACCGACTCAACTAAATAAATATCAGTAATGTCATTGTAGTGCATTTTCCTTGTACAACCTTCAGAACAAATAATTTCATCATCATGACTTTCCCTAGTTGGTTTTATTACGAGTGAAACCACATAAACTGTCGAAATGAAATAATTTAACCGAGATAATGGTAAATACAAAATAATCATACTATCTTGTTTAATATGAGTTGTTTGTTGTTCTGGTGGAACATGTAGGATCAGATTCGTCAGATGATTGAGACTGTCACGTTCAACAGCTATTTGTTAGATAAGTCAAAATAGTTAAAGGTAAATGGAATAAGTAACAGTGTGTAGAGTGTAAATATCGTCAAATCACTAACAAGATATTTATCTATTCAGATCATTGGAAACGAACTACAGAGAATATCAAGTAAATACGCTAACTGGAGTACTACGAAAATTTTGAAACCTTATTAGAAAATTTATAAAATGTTGAGTACTGCTTATAGGTATAACCTCTTCAAGAGAACAACTATGTCCAATAGATTAAACGCTACAGTGAAGGCGTGAAGATTGTAGAAATGTATCAACACAAGGATGACAGTTGGTCTTAATCAGAACAGTGAGTCTGTTATCACTTGTGCTTATCTGATCCAAATTAACTGTTTGGATACTTGCACGTTAACTATAATTAAGAGCAATTTTATTTTGAGCCTTGAATTTACATTTAAATATCCCAAACTTAAATAAAAAAACAATTGTCCAGTTTTCTTCGTTTTCAGCTTATCGTTTCATTAATGTTATTTCATGGTGAAAAACATCTTCAGACAGGTTGACTTTTGCAAGTTGTCTAGACTTTTAACTTATATATACTTTTTCAATCACTGACATGTGTTTCTTCGCTACGCATAGCACTATAATTACGTGGATCACATCTATCTTTGACAACTATAAATCCCTTTTATTAATGGGAAAATATTCATTTTTATTTGAACTATTAATGATGTCTGCCAAAAAATTTTGGTATAAAATAAAATGAAAAAACTGCTTCAATTTATAATTTATCATTATCACTTACTCTCGGAATATGTATGTACAAAAATCTCTTCTGATTTGATACTAATATGGTAAGTAGTATCTGTACATTGTACAGATACACTATACCATGTATCTGGTGAAAGACTAAAAATACGGAAACTTGTAGCTGATTGACCAGCATTGAATTGTATTGGTTTATTTGTATGATTGTGTAAAGGCTTTATGAATACATAATAATAGTTATTATTATTATCTAATAAATGATCTTCTAATGCATTATCCCAGTGTACAGTAAATCCATAAATATTAATTTCAGAAATTGTTAAATTGACTGGCGGTTGAATACCTGTAATATTGATATGTTAATTATAAAAAAGAAACTACAACACAGAAATCATCGTTTTAAAGCGAGGGAAAGAGATAAACAAATTAAGTGGAGCTGCTAGTCATATACATAACTTCTGAACGGACATCACTGTTGTTCACACAAACACTAATGAAAACGTTTACGATGGTTCTAGAGTCATCTACCAAAGTGCCATTGTAAAAATTAAGGGAGATACATTTTGAGATGTTCTTACACGTTCATGGTCTTCTGGCTTTGCACTATACTTTTGGAAAGTATATTTTGTTTGTAGTCGTCAGTGTGGAAATGATCATTATTTAATGAAAAGGAAGGTCTTTATTTTAACATCGGCTTCCATCATGGTTTCGCCGTAATTATGATAATTTTATGGAATATGATTGTGGAGAAAATATGCTACATTATATAATCATGATAGCTTACAATTGAAGTTCTTTCTTAATGCGAGCCCATTATGATTAGAATATCAAATTACCAGTTCCCATTTCTACTGTGTTATGTCCTTAGGACCTACTGACCATACCAATGACGCATAAACCAGTGTAGTGTGAGCTAATTATATCGACATAAGTAGTATACATCGTGAGCCAGGAATAGAATATCTGACAGTAGAAGATTGAGAAGATCAAGAAAAGAAGAACAGAAATAAAAAGCAATTGGTGTGGAAATCCCGGAACAACGAAACTTGAGACAATTAATGAACATTTTGCAAATAGAGTATCAGAGTATGATTTTTGTATTTTATTAAGCAACTTTGTAATGTGAGATCAATGCACAGTTGGTTGTCCTCACCTGTGTTCTCATTCACAACACCAGTACAAACTGCCGAGAATGAACTCCGAGTTCTTATTGGTCATCTGACATAGTAGCTTCTCGAATATCCCAGGCGATTCAGTTCAGAACATCAAACCAGTCTCCGCTATATCAATCATACATTTCAAACACACGCGGTTTATATAAAATTAAAATCAGACGGCATGATATCATAAAATAGAAACTGACAATCATACAAGATCAGGCCAAAGGTGGCTGCGAGTGTGAGATGCTGTAACTAATAAATTGGGAATAACTTAAGAATAGTAAATTGTGTAATAGTAGTCAATAGGTGGAATGGAAGCATATAATAAGAGGAATATGAATACACAAATAATATAGTTACTTTATAGCTACACAATAATTATATATAACAGTCCATAAATAGATACTAGCAGTTACCATTCTCTTATTCTTCGTTCGGACACGACATACTGGATGTTTGCAAAGAAAACTTATCATAATAAATTCAAGAATTGTTGAGCATTACTAAACGTTGACAAATTTACTAATAAAAAGAAAACTAATTAACAAAACATTTCTTAAACATGGCCCTAAAATATGAGCTAATACCTTAAATTAATTTTGTTTAGGTAATACGTTTTCGGAGGAAAAAAGTGATTACACTTTGTAAAATGGATCAAGAAAACCCACTAAGTATTGATAAACTTACATGGTGGATATGTTGTATAGATTAAAATAGATTTGGTCGCATTACTGTATATACCATATTTAGTATCAAATGACTTAAGATATACCGTATAATTTGTTCTAGGTAATAAAGAAGTGACAGTAAATTCGCTTTTTCGATTGCAAATATTAAACTGATGAAAATTATCATTAATATTTAAAGTTGGTCGCACATAAAGTGAACAACAAATGTTAGTGAATGTTAAATCTTGTTTTATTTCGTTCCATCTAATAGTGAATTGATTTGGTTTGATGTTGGTCACTGTTACATTTTCTGGCTTAATAGGTCCTACAAATGGCGAAAAATAAAGCATTTTGATCAGTACTAAAGAATTCGTTGAAACATGCTGTGAGACAGTTCCATTATAAAGTAGTTTCCACACAGTTGTTATACAAATAGTAAGTGATCATTTGATACAATTAGAGGTTATTGTTAATATTTTGTCACAAACAAAATAATATTGCCATTTCACAAAAATGTCTATCGTTACTAATTTGATGGATATTTAGGATCGCAAATGGTTAGTATGTGTTTGACACATGTGCATCCAGTACAGACTGCCTCAATATGGCCGTTAAAGTCACAAGCTTTACAAGTCGAGCTATTTAATGTAATCAAAATAACATTTTCATAGTATAATGTTAAGGTATTATGTAAAGCATTTGTATGACTTGTATTTCTAATTTGTTTTAATTCAGTTAGTGCAATAAAAAAATTTAAGGAACTTTTAAATCTGTTAGTTTAAATACTCTACAAGATTGATTATGTATGTTACAATTAATTGTTTTTCAATTCACAGTAATATATTGCAACTTGAAATAATCAACATAATATGAAAATATAATGATGGGATTTAACAGATCATTTGAATACAAAGCAGTTTATTTCACAAATCCAGACAACGAAATGAGGAAACGATGTTTACCAAAACTTTTTGATATCAGTGCAACACATTTCGAACAATCTGAGCAGACATTTACTTTTTCGTAAACAAATACCTTGACAATTCCGTGATCAGATTGTTCGAAATGCATTGCATTAATATATCACATAATTCTGAACTACGTGGTAACATCAAATTACCTCGATCAGTTGAGGCTGTAAACACTTGACAAGGGAGAAGGGTCAAAACTAACGATGAAAATAAGTTAGTGACGAATTACATAATTATTACATACCACTACAACAGTACAATTTTCTAGTTAGGAAATTACAAGAAGGTAGGCTGGGGCTTAAAAAGCATTAAGTTACTAAAGGACTGAGATTCATCTTGATAGTGAGGGTCTGGAAACCTACATTTCCTGTCAATTGTCTCAAAATCCTCTAATGAGCTTTAAACTGTCAAGAATTATATAGCATAAAATGAAAAATAATACAAGGCTAAATAAAGAATGAGAAATTAGTCATCACAATACACTGAAAGCTTTATTACATAAAGATCCGGGCTAATCACATCTTTTTCCTGTACTTAACTATTCAGTTTACACACTTGAAGTTTACAGCCTTCTGTGAATTCAGATATCTTCTTTACGGTGGCAATCTGGTGGTGACAAAATGTCCGTTATTCGTACCACTTTTGCGCCTCTGAGTATGTTTAGTAACGAATTGCTCATAAACATGTCCATTCATTGTTCCCATTTGCTTTGAAGAATTACGCTAATTCTTCCAGTATATATGAGCGCAACGAAACTTTTGGTTTTCATCAAGTTCTTTTCATTCTATAACATTGGGAAATATTACACTACCTTAGGTAGTCTCGCTACATGTACCTTAAAGATTTCTTAGTAAATAAACTGAAGTATAAACTTTCATTTAAAAAAAATATTTTAATAATTACTTTTTGTTTTGTTATGTCTGAAGCGGTTTTGAATTCACTTAGTCAGCGAACAAACAAAGACTTGTGACCAGAGACCAATAAGCTATCTATACTGACGCGTCCCAGACTCATCTAACTAGAGTGAGAAATCCAAGTTGGAAGTGGGGAAGATATATTCTGTGAGCAGCCAGAAACACAAGCGACCGCAACAGGAAGAAATCAAACGTATATCTACAGCATAAAATTGTCCTTGGGGAGCATTACAAAGTAGCACACCAGAAAATACAACGGACCAATAGCGTTTAAGATTTCCCCAAGTGGGAAGTACGACTCAAAGGTGAAAAGAGAGCTTTTGGCGCGAAAACAAAGAAATTCAAATTTTCAGAAAAAATTACAAAAATAAGTTCTGGGGATTTAACATCCCCAACATGTTCACGCTTCACCAGGAATAGGATAGTCCATCGCACTGATGTAAATACCATTTCGTTGTAAGTGTATCACAACATGTGCTAGTGGCACTTAAGCAAAAACATAATGTTTCAACTACGGGAATTCATTTTCACAGATGGGAATAGGAAAAAAATATGTTCTTAAAACGAATATTCGGTCTGACCACTGGTCTTAGAAACCTTTCTGCTAAACTGCTAAACAAACCATTTAAGAAAAAATTGCTTTGTTGAAATCATGCGTTACCGAAATATCAGTTATTTTAGAATTGCGGTAAAAGTGTTTTCGATCGCAAATAACGCCTTGTTTTTCGATGTTTTTATAGCTCAGCCGGGTCTATGGGCACAACATTTCTAACTCATTCCACTTATATTTGTGAGATGTAACCCAGTAACCAAGTACAACATAATGTACATTGTTTTCCTAGGGTAGATTATCATGGAGGTAAGCAACACTAATCAGTTGTCTAAAGCGAGTTAGGAGTAACCGATTTCGGATTTACAATTTTGAAGACTAGGTGACTGATTCTTTGAAGTCAACAGACTAGAAACAGTTGGTAGCGGACATTTTCAGCAGGACGATGCAAATATATTTTTCGCTATTTTTCAGTAAAAATAGTGACAAAGAACTATCTTTAAACTGAAGTTTATTTTCAATTAGATCGTCATCAGGCTTTACTCTAATATACATGAATATTTATATAAAAATGTTAGACCAATCAAGGCTATTTGAGTCAATAATAATCACAATGAAATAGAAATACGTTACCAAGCATAATAATAGTTAAAAGTACAAGTTGATAGTGGGAAGACAGGTGTACTGATAGTAGTAAGAATAGCAAATTACGATAACAAAAGTCTTATCAATAATTAAACATAAGAATTAAGAGGTCAAACGTGGGTAAATAGTCTGGAATAGTAATCACAAAACATTAAAATCATTACGTAATAAGAAGTATGTAAGTAAATAGATAGTGAAGAATACAAACGGAAAGAGGTAGAAAATTACAAACAAACAAAAAATGATAACCAAAATCTTAAAAAAATTAAAAAAAATTTCTACAAATAATAATAATGTCAATTATTAAGTTATGTCCGGCCATGGAAGGGATAGGGGGTTACGAATTTCTTCTGTACACATAAATTGGGATGGAATGTACGAATCCCTATGGCTTCTGCTATATGAAGTAGACGGGAGCGAACTCCGTTGGGAAACGATGGAGGTATACGATAGATCACTTGAAATGATTTCAATTTATCAACACCCGACCGTTGCTGTTACCTTGACGTGGTGGTCGGGCTTGCCTATCATGATGAGCCAATCGAGCTATGCTGGCTGGAACAATCGTTCCTCAAGGTCCTACTATGCCAGACAGGTCGGTTGAAGAGCGGTGAGACTAAAAGCAGCAATCTCAAGGTCCGAAGGCGAAGTCGTACTGCTGAAAGTACAGAGGTGTGAAAGCAGTAAGGTGTTTCCTTAAGACAACCAGCATGACGGCGATGCTGCCTTCCCACAAAGGGGGGGTGGGGTTAGAAAAGGTCAACCCCAAAAATGCACACCTCGCCTTATCCCACGGATTTCCGTCTCCGGCGGTAAGGTCCTTTGAAGAGCGGGGCTAACACGTCAAAAATACCCCACAAAAAGGCCGTGCGTGATCGGCTTTCAAGCAGTTGTCCCTTGGGCACTGCGGTCACGCTCCCAGGTCGTTCAGACCAACACTAATCCAACCTCCTTTTCAGGTCCCTCAAGAAATACTCTTTCACGGTGTGGGCAGCCGGGAAGTGATATTAGCCCTCATACCCGTAACAGCACACGAGACCAAGTTGGTCACTTTCAAATCCTTCCTACACCTCCTAATAACTCTGTTATCTCCACGACTAACCCTTCCCACGTCCTTTTATCACCTCGCACCGCTAGGGCAAACGATTCGAGTACACAGAACGTTATTCCTGGTCTCCTGAAACCACGCTCTAAACTACATGTATGAACTTTTAATGTGCGAACATTGTGCCAAGTAGGACAACAAGCTTCCTTAGTTGGACTCTAGAATCTTACACCATCGATGTGTGCTGCGTCTCCGAAACGCGCATAAAAGATCCGACTAGTGTCATTCATTTGACCACACCTAATCAAAATAAAGAACCATCTCGATACACGCTTCGTGTATCTGGAAGCCCTGATGCTGCTTCCCGTGGTCTCGCTGGAGTAGGTATAGCATTAAGTCCTAGGGCAGAATTAGCTCTTTTAGACTGGATACCAGTAGACAGTCGTCTATGCGCTGTCCGACTAAACGGATCAGTAAGGGCACGGAAAGATAGGGAAACTCGTCGTTGTCTCTGCCTACTCTCCCACTGACTGCAGCTCAGACGATATAAAAGATGAGTTCTACAGGAAACTTTCTGACCTTCTCCGAGAAGCTAGGCGTTCTGATGTAGTAATAGTAGCAGGTGACTTTAATGCTCAAGTAGGTAAACTAAGTGAAAGACACCAGGGTGGATCTCATGGTGTCATGGCGAAAAGAACAGATAATGGCGACCGTCTGTTGCAGCTATGCTCAGATAACCGCCTATTTCTTGCAAATACTAACTTTAAGCATAAGGAAAAACATCTTTTGACCTGGCGACCCCCGAATTCGTCCCAACGTTGGACCCAATTAGATCACATCGCTATCAGCCACCGATGGAGGGGCTCGATAGAAGACTGTCGCTCATTCTGGAGCACATGCTTAGATTCAGATCATGCTCTAGTGCGAGCACGTATCTGTCTGCGTCTTACCGGTCGTAGGAAAGACACTGCAGGGAAGTCTCCAAGGGTTCTACTTAATGATAGGCAAGCTAAGAATATATTTCAGGAACAACTAGAAAAACAGTTAGGCAGCCATGTAAGTTGTGTCCACCCCGAGGCAGCGTGGAATGACATCCGAAAAGCTGTGGAAACAGCAGTGATATCTGCTAGTAAGGTAAACCATAACGTTAGGGAGAAACAATGGATCTCGGCAGCATCTACCGCACTGATAGATGCTCAAAAACTCATCCCACCTGGCTCTGAGCATAACGAAGAGCGGAGTCATCTAAAGCGCAGGCTTATAAGAAGCCTACGTAATGATCGTGAACAGTGGTGGGTAGCGAAAGCAAGAGAGATGGAAAAGGCAGCGGCAATAGGTAACAGCAGACAGCTATTCAGACTTATTAAAGAAACCGGCATTAGAAACACAAATATCGGCGAAACTTTCTCAGATAAAGATGGGCATATCATTCATTCTCAATCCAGGCGATTGGATCGATGGGCAGAACACTTTAGGGATCAGTTCAACTGGCCTTCAGCCACACTTCAGTTACCCACGATCCCCAGTCGTCCTGAATGGCAAATTGATGTAAGTCCTCCAACCCTCTGTGAGGTTGAAAAAGCTACAGGAAATCTGAAGCGAGGGAGAGCAGCAGGCCCTGACAGGTTGACCCCTGAGATTTTTAAGGATGGTGGTTGACTGAGGTCTTAGGTAGAATCTGGGAACTGGACGTAATTTCATGTGACTGGTCCCAATCACTGATTGTGCCAGTCTATAAGAAAGGACAAAAGTCCTCTTGTGACAATCACATAGGGATCAGTTTGACTAATATAGTGTCTAAGATATTAGCTTCAATAATACTTGGACGCCTAACCAAAGTTCGTGAAGATCAGACTAGAGAAAATCAGGCTGGTTTCCGACCTGGACGTGGTTGAATAGACCAAATATTCACTTTACGTCAGGTCTTAGAACATAGATATACATTCAGATGTCCCACAATAGTATTATTTCTTGACCTTAATGCGGCATTTGACTCAGTTGATCGTGAGGTTCTATGGCAATGTTTGTCACTGAAGGGAGTACCAAAGAAGTACATTAACCTCATAAAGGCTCAATACTCGAACACAACTGGTCGAGTTAGAGCCTATGGCGAACTTTCATCAGAACTGATTACCACAAGTGGCGTTCGTCAGGACTGTCCACTCTCCCCATTCTTGTTTAACTTTGTCATTGACATACTTTTAGAGATAGCACTTTCATTAGCTAAACCTCCAGGAGTTGAACTTTTACCAGGAGGCTCACTTGTTGACTTAGAATACGCCGACGACATAGTTTTACTCGGTGAAGACTCTGACAACAGGCATAGTCTTCTGACCACTATAAGCATCTATGCAGGCATGTTCGGGATGCGATTCTCTCGCTCGAAGTGCAAAATGTTACTTCAGGATTGGGTTGCATCGACACCTGAACTAATGATAGGGAGTGAAGTAGATGAGCGTGTAGACCACTTCACTTATCTTGGGAGTCTCATCAGCCCTTGTGGTCTGGTATGTGACGAAATCTCAACACGGATACAGAATGCTCGTCTAGCTTTCACCAACTCGCGTAATTTATGGCGTAGGCGAGATATTCGTCTAGCAACAAAGGGACGTGTTTACTGTGCAGCAGTTCGTTCCGTTCTACTTTATGGCAGTGAAACATGGCCAATAAGAGTAGAGGACATTCGTAGACTACTAGTATTCGATCATAGATGTCTTCGAAGTATTACTCGTATATGATGGGACCACCGAGTAAATAATGCAGTTGTTAGGAAACGAGTACTAGGTAGGGATGGCAAATCGATTGATGAAGTAGTGGAACTTCATCAGTTGAGATGGCTGGGACACGTGTTACGTATGCCAACCACCGACTGCCCCGACATGCAATGTTTTATGGTGTAGGAGTAGGTTGCAAGAAAGCTAGGGGCGGCCAGACCAAAATGTGGCACAAATCCATGAAGTCACTGACAAGTGGAGTGAGCCATGTTGGTAGGTGTAGACTACCTGGTTGAGATTTGCGAGATGATAGCAAGCGATGGTTAAAGACCTTGAATGACATGGCTCAAAATCGTTTGCAATGGCGAAGATGCATCCACTCATTGTGTTCTACCAAATTCTAACCTTCTGAATTCCTCACGTCTTTATCTTTTTCTCTTTCCAAATTTATTTCACTGTACTATTCTCCTTCAATAATTTCTTCAAACCCTAATCTTTTGGATTTCTGATTATACTCCTACTACTTCTACCACTATGGGATTTGAATCGACAACTGCATCTCTGTGCTAATGTGGTATGGCAACTCGAACTGATGTACGTACGTACGAAGTTCTACGTTGTGACTGACTGACTGAATTTATCAACAATATGACCACTATCAATTAGATGTGCTAAGATAGAACTGCGTATTGTTTTTATTTGGCCCTTACCAAACCATGCTGGTAGATGTTCACTCATTCACCAGTGAAGCTAATCGCTGGATGTACACTGTTGAACTGTTGAACTGAAGGTGAGTGTGACATGAAGCTGAATTTCTTTGACGTTACACTAAGCAGGCGAAGTGATGGCTCGTTAAGTAGAAGCGTGTATAGAAAAAGACCCTCTGCCTGCCAATACACTCACTTCTATAGCTTTACACCTATCCAATATAAGAGAAACTTGGTTAAATGCCTCACTAGTAGAGCAAATAAGATCTGTTCTGTTGATACTTTAAGTCAGGAACTGGAATTTATCTATAACTCACTGACTGAGATCGGCTACCCTGCTGCGTTCATCAAAAAGTACATGTATGATACAAGGAAGTAATCGGAGATTTTAACTGTTCGTAAGAAGCCTCTATACATGAAATTACCATTCAACGGGGATGTAGCTAGTGAAACTCTGAAAGATAGGTTAACAAAAGTAATTAGTAGAACTTTCTACGCAGCCTATCTTGCATTGACTTTCTCGAGTCGACCAGTGATGTCTACTCAAACGAAGGATAAGTTACCTGAGTTGGCCTCCTCCATGTGCATTTATAAGTTCAGCTGCTCCTGTGGAGATAGCTATATCGGGCGTACTACTAGACAACTTAACCAACGAATGAGTGAACATCTACCAGCATGGTTTGGAAAGGGCCAAATAAAAACAATACGCAGTTCTATCTTGGCACATCTAATTGATAGTGGTCATATTGTTGATAAATTGAAATCATTTCAAGTGATCTATCGTATACCTCCATCGTTTCCCAACGGAGTTCGCTCCCGTCTACTTCATATAGCAGAAGCCATAGGGATTCGTACATTCCATCCCAATTTATGTGTACAGAAGAAATTCGTAACCCCCTATCCCTTCCATGGCCGGACATAACTTAATAATTGACATTATTATTATTTGTAGAAATTTTTTTTAATTTTTTTAAGATTTTGGTTATCATTTTTTGTTTGTTTGTAATTTTCTACCTCTTTCCGTTTGTATTCTTCACTATCTATTTACTTACATACTTCTTATTACGTAATGATTTTAATGTTTTGTGATTACTATTCCAGACTATTTACCCACGTTTGACCTCTTAATTCTTATGTTTAATTATTGATAAGACTTTTGTTATCGTAATTTGCTATTCTTACTACTATCAGTACACCTGTCTTCCCACTATCAACTTGTACTTTTAACTATTATTATGCTTGGTAACGTATTTCTATTTCATTGTGATTATTATTGACTCAAATAGCCTTGATTGGTCTAACATTTTTATATAAATATTCATGTATATTAGAGTAAAGCCTGATGACGATCTAATTGAAAACAATTGTTCGCTTACATATGTTGTTCTAATTTTCACAATGGGAATCTTTAATATTCTGAAGTTTATTTATCAACAGACCTACTTTTCTGGGATAAAAAAATATATTAAAACAATAAAATATCTGTGTTTTGGCCTATATGACAACTTACTATCTGGATAGGTTACAGCGGTAATATAATTCGAAGGCAAACTTCGAATTCCATATGTTGAATCAAACGATTCAACATAAACTGTGTAGTTTACTCCCGGACATAACGATTTGATGTCACACACGTTAGAATGACAAATATTGAATTTTTGAAAATGCCCAAACACAGTAAACGTTGGACGGATATATACCAAGAAACAATTGATGTTGAAAGCTGAATTCTCCTCAGGAGGCATCCAAACAACACGGAGCTGTGTTGATCTAGTCTCAATAAATGTAACGTTAACAGGTGGATTAGGAGCTTTTGTACGAAAAAAAAATTAAATGAGAAAACGATATGCAAATGTCAATATTTCAAATTCAATTATATATAAGTAACTGCTTACATATTACGTGATGTTCACCATAGATTAATATTAGTTAAGACGTTATTAAAAGCAGGAAGGATTGTATAACTGTTTTGTCGTAGTGTGAGATTCTTGAGTAGTATGCACACAAGAATGTTACTTTTAGTCCACTGATTCAGGATTTAGAGATTCCTATTTTGAAATTCAATCAGTTCGCGATATAGGACTACAATGATCTGAATTATTGGTAATAACCGTCTAATTTTCAACATAACCAAACTGTACGACATACAGTTGAAGTGATATCATACATCCAGCTAAATAATGTGATTAGTTCCGCCAATATACAATCAGCTAGACATTTTATTTTAACTGATGAATACACTAAAACTAATTTCTGAAGCAGATCTGGACAAAAAGACTTGGAACTTACGTGATCAAGTCTGTATTTTGGTCTATACAGTAACAATAGATATTGATTGATATTTTCTTGCCTCATAACATAAACTTTGATTTTTGGGGATTGTAATCACTATATTTTCCTCGTTATGTTATTGATATGTTCTGTAACAGTGTCAGTTGGCACAGGAAATTCGCAACAACGATATGCTTCTCGTGGACTAATATTTCTCTGAATAATGAAATTTTCGTTTTCAAAAAATTGATCAAAAGCCTGATAAATCGTTACACATCAATGATGTGTGAAAAAAACTGCTTCTTTTTTGCTTCAAGTCACACTTATTACTAAAAACTAGTCAGCTCTAGTGAAGCATCTAAATAGCTGAAAGGTTGGAATAAATAATTAAAAAATTTACAACACTTATTCATTTTACTTATCCTTAGATAAAGTTGGATAGTGGCTAGCAGTAAAATCACTATTCAATCTATTTGAGACATGTTGACTGGGGGATATGTCTTTCAGATATGACGTTCATTCTGGAGATCCAAACCAGTGCTTATCATTTCTGCTTTTACTTCACTACCCCGTTATCCGCCGGCCAAGTTCCGTAGTTAGAAACAACAATGAGAAGATATAAAGCTTTACAAAAAACTATTCCTTTACCTTAATGCTTTTATTTTAATATTTTGGCTGATTGTTCTACCAGACACAGCGATTCATCATCCTCTTCGTTCTGAATTTCCATGATCACACTAATTATTAATTTTTTGTTTTGGAACGTTTATCTAATTAAAAAACGTGGCATTTCATTCATGAACATCGTCTAGCAATACTTTTGTTTGACAACCGTATACTGATGCGAACAAAGAAACAAGGAAGCCATGATAAACAATGGAAGCTACTTTTGGGGACGTTATTCGACTTAATTAAAAGCTTGTAAGACGCTAACATTTATTTTTTGTGCCCAGATTATTCTACAAACCATAAGCTTTCGTTTGATGAATCGTACACTAATATCTTCTTCTGTTCCAGAGCTAATACAATTTAAACGTAACCTTTGGTACTCGACTTTTCTGCCCTCATGCCCAGTTTTGGACATAATTGCATTTTTCTAGTTGATTCAGTGTTTTGGTTATGTTAGTCATCTACTTATTCATATATCTTTTAACACTAATCTCAATCGGAATTGGGAAAAATCGAGTAGTGGTCCCGTTGACTCGCACACCCTTGCCAACCAATCAGAAGATAGAATGGTTTTTGTCTCTACCAAAGGCGGTTAGTCTCGCTTTGAACTCACGTATTTCAGCCTCAAAGATAAACAAGTAAAAATATTGTTCAAGGACTTAATCTAGATCTATACAAGTTATCTTCTGTATACTATTGGGTAGACAGATCAAGGACGTAACATATACAGCGTCCGAATCACCGGTGAGCGATAGTCAGTCTCAACGTTGAAAATGTACGTATGTCCATCAGTTCGAGTTGCCATAACCTATTATCACAGAAAGATGAAATCGTTAGACTAAATAACAGAATATTAGAGGTAGAAACAGTTTCAGTGTTAATGGCAAAGACTAAACATTGAAGATACGACTTGTGAAGAAAATTCAAATTAGTGACAGGACTAACAACTACGACACTTTCGTTCTATATCACGGTCCATTGACGGCATATATGCGTAGCTCAGAGCCAGTGACTTCATTTTACTTACCTCTGGGTGCCCATTACGGAACTATTTAAGGACATGATGTCGAAGAACTCTAGGAATAACGATCCGATGGCCAAACGTGATATACGGATCGACAACTGTCAAGGGATTTCACCGACGAAAGTATTGTAAAAGCTCTTCATGGAGTCTAGACGAAGGCCATTTGTTGAGTATACAGCCGCAAATAATCTTCAACGCATTATTCTTTCGCTATCTTATTTAACAGCTTTAAATGTGACCGGCAGTCCAGAAACTGCGTCTGCCAACACACTGTGAACTTTAACGTCAGCTTCTACGGCGGCTACAAGTACGTACTTTTCTTGGTTTGAATGTGAGCCAGTTAATCTTGCGACGGCATCTGTCTTTCGAAAATCGGGTGTCGCATGATACTTTATCTTGAAATCTTACCCAAGCAGTGTAGTTGCCCATCGTTGTAGACGGTTAGCTGTATTTACAGGGATAAGCTTTTGGGATCCAAAAGCTACCAGTAGCGGTTTGTAAGTCTGTTAGTAAGGTAAGCTGTCTACCGAATAGCATCTTGTGGAACCTTTTCACAGCAAACATAATGAAGAGGGCTTCCTTCTCTAACTAACTATAGTTCTTTTCTGTCGTTGTCAGTGATCTTGAGGCGTGATCAATCGCTTTCATAGTGCAATTGTGACAGAAATGTGAAATCACTACTCTAAATCCATAATTTGAAGCATCTGCTGCGACCACAATAAGAATGACTGCATTATAGTGCGTAAGTGAAAGGTTTGACGACAGGAACTGTTTTGGTATTTAATGTATTGTACAGTTTAGTGATAATGGAAGACAGAAACATAGAGCGTAATTTTTATAGATACATTACATCTACTGATAATGTTTTGAGATTTCAGTTTCCGTTATTTTCCTCAAGTATGTGTGTTATATCTAGAGCTTAGATTCTTCATATAACGTGTACAACTTGAGCACTCGAACGCTAGAAACCTCCGAGTAGCAAGTGAAGAGACAGAGTAAGACTAAGAAGGAATATTATTCCAGTGTCAAATGTGGTACAAAACTGTAAAGTATTTATAGTCTGTAGTATAAACGAAATCATCATCATAGTCATCCAATCCGCGTGCAGAGGTTTTTAGCATTTGTTCAATAAGAAAACTACACGTCGAGATTCCGGAATGTTCTTTCAAAAGATGGTTGGACGGAATGTGTTCAGCTCTCTCTGAGCTTCCTTAAATTAACTAGAGGGTCAGCCTCACAATGTGTATATACATAATAGAACACGTACATATGTAAAATATGTCCCAACCACGTCAGTTGATGAAGATTCACTACCTCTTCAATCGACTCCCATCCTCACCTAGTGCTCTATTCCTAATCCAGACATTGCTTACTCCGTGGTTTTGTTTTTATTCACCTAGTTCACAGATGAAATTTCTCTTCGATCAATTTTTTCGAGGGCCACTGATACCCAAATATTTGAAAATTTTATTCGTTCTTCTTCTTTTCTGTAAAAGTAACAATTCTCGCCTTTTGGTTTCAATGCTTTTAAGTGAAATCTAAAAGTTCAGTACGGATCCTTTAATGAGTTCTACAAAATATTCGTTTTGTTAACAACTTTGAATATTATAAGAATAGGGTTTTGTGAATATGGTAGTAATTTTTAATAGTTGAAATCATGAGTTGATTGGTTGCCCGCAAGACCGAAGCTCCTGGGTTTCAGTCCCACGTACGAGATCGTGGATATGTGTTGCTGAGGTGTCCCATAATAGGACGAAACGGCCATTCAGTGTTTCCAGGTCTTCCATAGTGGTCTAGCTTTAATCGACTCATGAATTAAAATAAAGACAGAGCAAATATTGAAGCAGAATAGTATGAATTCATTATATTTCGTGGTTTCTCATTAGCTGCTGACAACCAGTAGCTCCAAATGTATCTACCAATTTACATGTACGTGCCAAAGCACATACATTGGAAGAAGCGAGTACATGTTTGCATTTCTGAGCATGTTCTTAAGAAACTGAGGCTGCAAGGGACCAGAGCTCTCGACAGTGCGATAACTCGGCATTTACTCGACACCGAGCACAGCATTGACATTTCTCATGCCTTCAAAATCATTAGCAAACAAAGAAGTACAACTGCTGTCCGGTTTGCTGAAGCGATCGCGACCTCGAACCGGATCTGTGTACTCAAAAAGAGACAGTGATAAACTTATTACTACCCTAGTAATCCGTTTTTTTGTTTTATTTTTGTTGTTACTAGTTTTATTTTGGTTAATATTCGGTTTTTATCATATTCCTCTTCCCTTACCCAATTCTTAAACCACCATTTTTCTCTCACACATTTCCGCTCACTTGTCTCTCTTAATTATATGAACTCTCCAAATTTCATTCAATTATTACGTAACCCACCCTAATTGTTTTTAATTACCTCTAAAATAATCACACTTTTGATCTTATCTGTCTTTGAACTCCACTCAACTATTACGCCACCCTTCATTCTAATACCTAATAACCTCTGACCTTTTCTTGCATATATATATATATATATATATATATATATATATATATATATATAGTTGATGAACTTGTTATTCCTATCCTTTAAATTCACTTATGTCAGTCGTTTCATCCTATTTATTACACCAATGCTAAAACTCTTCTGCATATCTGGTTGTAAGCAGCTGATGAGAAACCACGAAATTTAATGGATTCATACTCTTCTGCATCAATATTTGTTCTGTCTTTATTTGACTTCATGAGTCGATTAAATACAATCAGTATTTAGAACTGTAAGAAACGAGTTGAGAAATCGCCTACCTTTGAAAAACTTCAAGTCTGATGCGGATACTCTTGTTTGATAAGTTAATCAGTGCTTCAAAATAATGTTGAACAATTAAAACTTTGACTTGATTACACATTTACATTTGCATCATTCCAAAACAGTTGTCTACTAAAATCATGCAACCATGGAGATGAAGGATTAATGTTTCTTAATCTAGAAATAATTTATGTACCAACTTACACGTATATTCAATGTAATGTACATTTTTAACTTTGAATAAGTGCACACTAATGCTAATCATCTTCTTTTGTCTGTATTATGCAATTTGAATAAATTATTCTAGTCTATTTGATTTGAATAGTTTACAAGTACAATTAGAGATTGTCTGTTTCATTAGATAAGGATAGAGTGTTTTTTTTCGGTAAATCAGTTATTTTTATTAATCATGACATTTTTAATCATACAACTGATTGTGTACAATGTGTTATTGGCGGATCAGTGGCGGGCTCATTTGAATTACCGTTTATTTGAAATTCAACTATTATTCCATGAAAAATAAACTCGTACACAAAAGCAAGTGTATTGAGATGTAGGTGTGAATCTACTTTTTATTTATGGTACCTAAGATAGTTAAGCACCTACGTGATATAGAATATTTCAGGTCGTTGACCGATGAGGTTGAAGTGGTTCTGCTACAGATTTTGATCCATGCTGTCAATTGGTTGGATTAATCTTATTGAACAACTTATTCTAACACTGAAGCAACCAGTACGAGTTATTCAGTTATCCTCCGTTGTGATTTTACTTCGGTTAAAAATGTATGTAAAGATTTGAACTTTTAGCTAAACAGTAATTATACCCAGTCACAGGTTATGTATAGTCGTCTGATATTTATGAGGCTCAGTGAAAAAAATGTTCTAGAGTGAGTAATCGTATTTATTGTCTATATCATGTTTTCACTACAAATCCAGTTCTACCCTCAGTCATTTCACTACGTCAGAATAGCCACTGAATCATTGAGTGGATGTTGTATTCTCATTCAACTGGTTGCAAATTACTACATGTTTTTTTATATCAAATCTATTTATGTATGTTCCTAAAGTCTGTTGTAATGCTTATATAGAAAAAACCTGATTCTTTCCGGTTAAAAGACGTTGTTCTAACTTGAAATATTGCTTTCTTATTCGTTCCAACTATTTAGAGTTATACATGAAAAATAGAATGGCAATGTAAATCGAAACTAAGTCTGGCAAAATAACTGAAATGGTTGATGCGTTCAATTACGGTACTCGAAATCACGAATTTAGGCGGTAATCTAAGCCAATTCTGAATCAACATTTAGCATTTGTAGGCGAAGCACTGCATTCCAAGCATGTTTACATTTTTGACTCTAGTGTGAAAATCATTCTCCAATAAATTTTCTCTCATAACGGTTTATTGAATCAACTAGAATGTTAAACATTTTTATTTATTTAAACACATAAATATTGGTACAAGGAAGCACCAGATACATATGTGCCACACAAATCTTGTTTGATTTGTGTGATGGGCTGTGATATTGCCCAGGTGCCCAAACTGAAGCAGGTGGTTTTCTTAGGGGGCCACTCCCGGAGCCTTTAACCTAAAGGGCTGATCCACAAAGAAGTGGAGCATCCTGAGGAGATACAGTCCCATGGTAGTCGGTGACCAACCATTGGTTCATACGCCATTTGTTCTCTCAGGATACTGGAGACCATGTGCACCATTGGTTTGGAATCAGGGTTTTCCAACTCCCCTCGGTGAACTTTCCGTGTCCACCAACCCGGTTAAAGCGCCGGACATTCACTTTTCGTCCTCTCACTTTCGTGAACAACACTTGTAGTGCGAGAAGGCAGTGAGTAGGACATCTCGGGCAGAGGCTATATATTCGCGTGGCCATGTGAGGGCATTTCGAGAGGGACAGAAGACTCTCCTCACTCTCAGCCGTACCAGGGCATTTGGGGGCTGTCACTGCTCAATTTAGTTGGAAAGCCCACAACACATTTCAGGCTTTGTAACTTCATAATCTGAATATGTATTAATAAGTTTTGTCAACTCAAACAAAAGCTTTGACATATTAGACATTAGTATCATACGACAATTTCCTAATATACTTCGTTTTAACTAAAGGTATCCTTAGTTTTATGTTGAGGCCAAAAATATTTCATTATTAAAGTACGCCGTAAAGATGCTAGGGAACGGTACTACATAGAATGAAGTACATCTATAATTTAGCAACAGGGAAGTAAAACAATTTTGTTAGTTTTTTTAACGCAGCTAATGCTTAGTGAATATTGATAATAATCACAACATGAACCTACTCGAGATTGAAGTAAACACAGTCAGTGGTTTTGACCATTCACTACATACTGTTTCATATTGTTTTATTACTAATCTCATTTGAATTGTATAAATTGTGCAAGCAGTTAAATTTTCAATTTTTTCTCTAAATACTTCACTCGAAATATTTTTTATTAATAATAATGATTGTCTCTGGCTATTAAGCGAGATTTCATAAGTAGAAACTCTGAATTGACTTCCATTAGTTTTCACAACTGGCCAAATGATCACGAACGAAGTGGATGTAATATTGGAGATCTGAATAAGTTTTGGTGTATGGATACTTGTATTTAAAAGTTGAACTAAAAAACAAAATGTGATAAAAAATTAAAGAATATGTAAGACAGATGAGGAAAGCCAACTATAAATAATCACAGGATAGAAATATAGAGTCCACTTTTGTTTGATTTCCTATAAACGAAACGAATCAGGTTAACTGATATTTATTTAAAGTATATGCTGACTACAACCAAACTCACAAGTGCATATGGAAATTAAATAACTCATTCGCATTATAACTATCATGCTTTTTATAACCATTGACATACATGGGAATACGTACAACATTATATCTCACACAATTACCCTTAAGCTAAATGATATAAGATTAACATGATAAACATGTTGGTGTGTACGAAATGGCTGATTTGATTTATTCAGTGAGTTAATTTATAAAAATTCTAATTTGCGAATAATCACAAATACAAATTTCTACTCATTGGGATATTTCACATTCACTACCACTTTTATCATCATCACTATAAATACATTACTGTTTACTATCAAAATTAGACCAAATTATTATCATCTCATTCAAGTGTGCTCTTTTAATTTGCAACTTTCATACATTACCATGAGAATACAGTTTACTCTAACAGTGATAGCTTTTATTATTTCTTAACAATAAAACTACAGTAATCTACAACTCAATATGGTTCAGAAACATGTTTCAAACTTCTAGTTTTACCAGATGTAAAACTAATAAAGTGTTATGTTTCATATTAGCTAAAGGTGGAATTCATAAAATGTGTTTTGACGAATTTAACTCTCATCAGCATAGAGGTACTGATGAATTCAAATAGTGATATCAGCAATGGAGAAATGTAAACTATTCAATAAATAATTCTTTACATAATGTAAGTGGCATAAAATGAATTTATTGGTCGTGAGACTGAAATCCAAACTTATTACTATTAACACACGTAAGGTAAAAAATGGTTTGGTTTTCAAGTAAAAGTGAGAGAGATTATTCATATTTTAAATTAGAACCAACATTAGCGATTTAGCTGCAATCTACCCTCAAATAATTTGAATCTATCCAACGGAAAAAAACAGATCTTGAGTTATCTTAAATTTTAAGTTAGTGTGGTTAGTGGGGAAATTTTAAATGCATATACATCTCTGTGTTAGACTTTCAGTTAGCTTGAGGAATAAATACGATCAATTAACTAAGTCGTATCCTTTGGAGATGGTTATTCGTCGAGTACGAATGTCAACTGAGAAGCAATGTGAAATGGTGGACACCATGATTAATGATGCATCAATGACGCCGAATGGAGATCAAACTATATTACAAATTGAAGTTGAAGCATATAAACCATTAGATTCCCGTTCACAGATTTAAAGAATTTATAATCTCCATAAATATTGATATTTAGGAAATTGATATTGAAGAGGATCTTTTGATCGCGATTTTCAAAGAATCCCAGACCAAAGTAAGAAATACACTGTTATTCCCTAACCTTTAACAATCCTTTAGTTGATATCAACGAATACCGAATAATTACTTTTCGATTGAGATAATAAACCGGTCAATGTTAGACCACCATTGAAAACCTGGAAAAAATTGAAGGCTGCTTCGTCATAGTACGGGACTCCTCGGCAGTGCGCATCCACGATCCCACATGTAGGACTCCAACCCAGGACCTTCGGTCTCGCGTGCGAACGCCTAACCTCTAAACCATTGAGCTGGCATCCAGCGGTGATAAAGTCCAGCTTCGATCGATTCATGATCTTGCGCAATCTTTCATCCATTGTCTGAGGTGGATAACTGTCTCCACCCGACCGATCAATGTTAGACCACCAGTGAAAACCTGGATATGCTCATGATCTCAATTAAAACATAGCAATCTCCACAACCCCATACTGATAATTAGCTTTGATCATGATCGTATCTAGCTTCAGTAACATCATTAAAGTTAGATATTATCATCACCAAAATCGCTAATTGTATTGATAAACATTATTTAAATTAATTTTCATTTGAATCACCTTATATTAAGAAGATATAAATCATATCATATGATAGACAGATACCTCACTTTTGATCAGAGCTAACACCAAAACAACTGACTTTACTACGCATTGTTTCTGATAAATACAATCGGGTTGATATTAAAGTGATTTGAAAAATGGTAAGCTTAATTAGATTTTAGGTGTACAGTTTAGTAAAACAGTGAAGTAATTTAAAAGGATAAAAAGCAAATGAATCCGAAAGTAATCTAAAATCTTTTATTAACTTATTATCAAAAAAGTGAAGACAGATTTGATGAAATTCCTTGTGAATAAATTCAGTTTCATACGCTGTATATTTATATTTCATTCAAATTGTAGACTTTCTTAAAAAAAATTCCTTATAAATAGTCTAAATTAATGTGGGAAATAACTCCGCCTGTAGCTCCTCTGGGGGTTAATGCAGGTCCCAAGCCCGGGTAAAGGAGGGTTGGGCATGGGTTAGCGGCCACATCCCGTAGAAAATCAACTCGCTAAAAAACGGCTAACCAGAAAAAATCATTCAAACTCTGCCCTGGAAGTAGAAGGAATAAATATGACGTCTCATGATGAAAGCCGAGTTCCTTCGGAAGTCATGACGACGATGCACCTTACAATCAGAGCGACAATTTTTATAGGTACATGGAATGTCCGGAAAATGTGGGAGACCAGAAGAGTTTTCCAAATTGCTGCAGAAATGAGAAAATACAACCTGGAGGTGCTTGGAATCAGTGAAACACATTGGACGCAGGTTGGACAACAACGACTGTCTTCAGGAGAATTTATGTTATACTCCGGTCATGAAGAAGAAAATGCCCCACATACACAAGGAGTGGCACTGATGCTGTCTAGAAAAGCACAAAATGCACTTATAGGATGGGAATCTCATGGACCAAGAATTATCAAAGCCTCCTTCAAAACAAAGAGAGAGGGCATTACAATGAACATCATCCAATGCTATGCGCCTACCAACGACTACGATGAATACGCTAAAGACCAATTCTACGACAGGCTGCAGTCGATCGTCGAGAAGTGCTCAACCAAGGACCTGACCATTCTGATGGGAGATTTCAATGCCAAGGTTGGAAAGGACAACACTGGATACGAAGACGTCATGGGACAACATGGACTGGGAAAAAGGAACGAAAATGGTGAGAGATTTGCAAACTTATGCGCCTACAATAAACCGGTCATAGGTGGCACCATATTCCCACACAAAAACATACACAAAGCCACTTGGATTTCACAGGATCACATTACACAGAATCAAATCGACCATATCTGCATCAACAAAAAGTTCAGGAGGACGATGGAGGATGTGAGAACCAGAAGAGGAGCTGATATAGCATCCGATCATCATTTTCTGGTCCCCAAGATGAAACTAAAACTCGAAACGCACTGGACAACGTCGCGGACAACATCACAAAAGTTTAATACGGCCTTTCTTCGAGATGCTGACAAACTCAACATAGCCCTCAGCATCAGGTTCGAGGCCTTTCATGATCTACTCAATGGAGAGGGAACTACCATGGAAAGCAACTGGAATGGTATCAAGGAGGCAATCGTTTCAACATGTCAAGAGGTTCTGGGCCAAAAGAAGCACCATCACAAAGAATGGATCACTGTTGGTACACTGGGTAAAATTGAAGAAAGGAGGAACAAGAAGGCAGCAATCAACACCAGCCGAACAAGAGCGGAAAAAGCCAAGGCACAAGACGAATACACAGAGGCAAACAAGCAAGTGAAGAGGAGCATCAGAACCGACAAACGTAAATATGTTGAAGATTTAGCAACGAGAGCGGAAAAGGCTGCAAGAGAGGGAAACATGAGACAACTGTATGACACAACAAAGAAACTTGCTGGAAATTACCGTAAGCCAGAAAAACCAGTAAAAAGCAAGGAAGGCAAAGTAATTACCCACATTGAAGAACAACGAAAGAGGTGGGTAGAATACTTCAAAGAACTCTTGAATAGACTAGCACCACTGAACCCACCAAACATTGAAGCAGCACCCACAGACTTACCAATTGATGTTGGCCCACAACAAATTGTAGAGATCAGCATGGCCATTAGACAAATCAAGAGCGGCAAAGCAGCAGGACCAGACAACATACAGGCGGAGGCACCGAAAGCATAGAATGATGAAATATTTAACAAATGTAGCTGATAAGTAGATAGAAAGATTAGAGTATAATACAGTGAAATAAATTTGGAAAGAGAAAAACGATAGGGACATGTAGAATTTAGAAGATTAGACTTTGGCAGAACACAAAGACTGGATGCACCTTCGCCATTGCAAACGATTTTGAGCCATGTCATTCAAGGTCTTTAACCATCGATTGCTATCATCTCGCAAATCTCAACCAGGTAGTCTACACCTACCAACATGGCTCACTCCACTTGTCAATGACTTCATGGATTTGTGCCACATTTTGGTCTGGCCGCCCCTAGCTTTCTTGCAACCTACTCCTACACCATAAAACATTGCATGTCGGGGCAGTCGGTGGTTGGGCATACGTAACACGTGTCCCAGCCATCTCAACTGATGAAGTTCCACTACTTCATCAATCGGTTTGCCATCATTACATAGTACCCGTTTCCTAACAACTGCATTATTTACTCGGTGGTCCCATCATATACGAGTAATGCTTCGAAGACATCTATGATCGAATACTAGTAGTCTATGAATGTCCTCTACTCTTATTGGCCATGTTTCACTGCCATAAAGTAGAACGGAACGAACTGCTGCACAGTAAACCCTTCCTTTGGTTGCTAGACGAATATCTCGCTTACGCCATAAATGACGCGAGTTGGTGAAAGCTAGTCAAGCCTTCTGTATCCGTGTTGAGATTTCGTCACACACCAGACTACAAGGGCTGATGAGACTCCCAAGATAAGTGAAGCGGTCGACGCACTCAACTAATTCACTCCCTATCATTAGTTCAGGTGTCGATGCAACCCAATCCTGAAGTAACATTTTGCACTTCGAGCGAGAGAATCGCATCCCGAACATGCCTGCATAGTTGCTTATCGTGCAACTTGCAACAATCATTAACTTACTCGACTGATTGAATTCATCAGTAGTAGTGGTAAAATTGGTGGTAGCACTGGCAGTAATAGTAGAATTAGTAGAAACATCAGGAGCAGCATCGGTCACACCATAGGTAAAACCCTGATTAAATGTTGAACCAACGGGATTGCTTGCACTCACTGCCACATTGAAGGAAGATTCTGAGAGGAGAAACAAAATAACGTAGAATGATGAAATATTTAACAAATGTAGCTGATAAGTAGATAGAAAGATTAGAGTATAATACAGTGAAATAAATTTGGAAAGAGAAAAACGATAGGGACATGTAGAATTTAGAAGATTAGACTTTGGCAGAACACAAAGACTGGATGCACCTTCGCCATTGCAAACGATTTTGAGCCATGTCATTCAAGGTCTTTAACCATCGATTGCTATCATCTCGCAAATCTCAACCAGGTAGTCTACACCTACCAACATGGCTCACTCCACTTGTCAGTGACTTCATGGATTTGTGCCACATTTTGGTCTGGCCGCCCCTAGCTTTCTTGCAACCTACTCCTACACCATAAAACATTGCATGTCGAGGCAGTCGGTGGTTGGGCATACGTAACACGTGTCCCAGCCATCTCAACTGATGAAGTTCCACTACTTCATCAATCGGTTTGCCATCATTACCTAGTACCCGTTTCCTAACAACTGCATTATTTACTCGGTGGTCCCATCATATACGAGTAATGCTTCGAAGACATCTATGATCGAATACTAGTAGTCTACGAATGTCCTCTACTCTTATTGGCCATGTTTCACTGCCATAAAGTAGAACGGAACGAACTGCTGCACAGTAAACCCTTCCTTTGGTTGCTAGACGAATATCTCGCTTACGCCATAAATGACGCGAGTTGGTGAAAGCTAGTCAAGCCTTCTGTATCCGTGTTGAGATTTCGTCACACACCAGACTACAAGGGCTGATGAGACTCCCAAGATAAGTGAAGCGGTCGACGCACTCAACTAATTCACTCCCTATCATTAGTTCAGGTGTCGATGCAACCCAATCCTGAAGTAACATTTTGCACTTCGAGCGAGAGAATCGCATCCCGAACATGCCTGCATAGTTGCTTATCGTGCAACTTGCAACAATCATTAACTTACTCGACTGATTGAATCCATCAGTAGTAGTGGTAAAATTGGTGGTAGCACTGGCAGTAATAGTAGAATTAGTAGAAACATCAGGAGCAGCATCGGTCACACCATAGGTAAAACCCTGATTAAATGTTGAACCAACGGGATTGCTTGCACTCACTGCCACATTGAAGGAAGATTCTGAGAGGAGAAACAAAATAACGTAGAATGATGAAATATTTAACAAATGTAGCTGATAAGTAGATAGAAAGATTAGAGTATAATACAGTGAAATAAATTTGGAAAGAGAAAAACGATAGGGACATGTAGAATTTAGAAGATTAGACTTTGGCAGAACACAAAGACTGGATGCACCTTCGCCATTGCAAACGATTTTGAGCCATGTCATTCAAGGTCTTTAACCATCGATTGCTATCATCTCGCAAATCTCAACCAGGTAGTCTACACCTACCAACATGGCTCACTCCACTTGTCAATGACTTCATGGATTTGTGCCACATTTTGGTCTGGCCGCCCCTAGCTTTCTTGCAACCTACTCCTACACCATAAAACATTGCATGTCGGGGCAGTCGGTGGTCGGCATACGTAACACGTGTCCCAGCCATCTCAACTGATGAAGTTCCACTACTTCATCAATCGGTTTGCCATCATTACACAGTACCCGTTTCCTAACAACTGCATTATTTACTCGGTGGTCCCATCATATACGAATAATGCTTCGAAGACATCTATGATCGAATACTAGTAGTCTACGAATGTCCTCTACTCTTATTGGCCATGTTTCACTGCCATAAAGTAGAACGGAACGAACTGCTGCACAGTAAACCCTTCCTTTGGTTGCTAGACGAATATCTCGCTTACGCCATAAATGACGCGAGTTGGTGAAAGCTAGTCAAGCCTTCTGTATCCGTGTTGAGATTTCGTCACACACCAGACTACAAGGGCTGATGAGACTCCCAAGATAAGTGAAGCGGTCGACGCACTCAACTAATTCACTCCCTATCATTAGTTCAGGTGTCGATGCAACCCAATCCTGAAGTAACATTTTGCACTTCGAGCGAGAGAATCGCATCCCGAACATGCCTGCATAGTTGCTTATCGTGCAACTTGCAACAATCATTAACTTACTCGACTGATTGAATCCATCAGTAGTAGTGGTAAAATTGGTGGTAGCACTGGCAGTAATAGTAGAATTAGTAGAAACATCAGGAGCAGCATCGGTCACACCATAGGTAAAACCCTGATTAAATGTTGAACCAACGGGATTGCTTGCACTCACTGCCACATTGAAGGAAGATTCTGAGAGGAGAAACAAAATAACGTAGAATGATGAAATATTTAACAAATGTAGCTGATAAGTAGATAGAAAGATTAGAGTATAATACAGTGAAATAAATTTGGAAAGAGAAAAACGATAGGGACATGTAGAATTTAGAAGATTAGACTTTGGCAGAACACAAAGACTGGATGCACCTTCGCCATTGCAAACGATTTTGAGCCATGTCATTCAAGGTCTTTAACCATCGATTGCTATCATCTCGCAAATCTCAACCAGGTAGTCTACACCTACCAACATGGCTCACTCCACTTGTCAATGACTTCATGGATTTGTGCCACATTTTGGTCTGGCCGCCCCTAGCTTTCTTGCAACCTACTCCTACACCATAAAACATTGCATGTCGGGGCAGTCGGTGGTCGGCATACGTAACACGTGTCCCAGCCATCTCAACTGATGAAGTTCCACTACTTCATCAATCGGTTTGCCATCATTACACAGTACCCGTTTCCTAACAACTGCATTATTTACTCGGTGGTCCCATCATATACGAATAATGCTTCGAAGACATCTATGATCGAATACTAGTAGTCTACGAATGTCCTCTACTCTTATTGGCCATGTTTCACTGCCATAAAGTAGAACGGAACGAACTGCTGCACAGTAAACCCTTCCTTTGGTTGCTAGACGAATATCTCGCTTACGCCATAAATGACGCGAGTTGGTGAAAGCTAGTCAAGCCTTCTGTATCCGTGTTGAGATTTCGTCACACACCAGACTACAAGGGCTGATGAGACTCCCAAGATAAGTGAAGCGGTCGACGCACTCAACTAATTCACTCCCTATCATTAGTTCAGGTGTCGATGCAACCCAATCCTGAAGTAACATTTTGCACTTCGAGCGAGAGAATCGCATCCCGAACATGCCTGCATAGTTGCTTATCGTGCAACTTGCAACAATCATTAACTTACTCGACTGATTGAATCCATCAGTAGTAGTGGTAAAATTGGTGGTAGCACTGGCAGTAATAGTAGAATTAGTAGAAACATCAGGAGCAGCATCGGTCACACCATAGGTAAAACCCTGATTAAATGTTGAACCAACGGGATTGCTTGCACTCACTGCCACATTGAAGGAAGATTCTGAGAGGAGAAACAAAATAACGTAGAATGATGAAATATTTAACAAATGTAGCTGATAAGTAGATAGAAAGATTAGAGTATAATACAGTGAAATAAATTTGGAAAGAGAAAAACGATAGGGACATGTAGAATTTAGAAGATTAGACTTTGGCAGAACACAAAGACTGGATGCACCTTCGCCATTGCAAACGATTTTGAGCCATGTCATTCAAGGTCTTTAACCATCGATTGCTATCATCTCGCAAATCTCAACCAGGTAGTCTACACCTACCAACATGGCTCACTCCACTTGTCAATGACTTCATGGATTTGTGCCACATTTTGGTCTGGCCGCCCCTAGCTTTCTTGCAACCTACTCCTACACCATAAAACATTGCATGTCGGGGCAGTCGGTGGTCGGCATACGTAACACGTGTCCCAGCCATCTCAACTGATGAAGTTCCACTACTTCATCAATCGGTTTGCCATCATTACACAGTACCCGTTTCCTAACAACTGCATTATTTACTCGGTGGTCCCATCATATACGAATAATGCTTCGAAGACATCTATGATCGAATACTAGTAGTCTACGAATGTCCTCTACTCTTATTGGCCATGTTTCACTGCCATAAAGTAGAACGGAACGAACTGCTGCACAGTAAACCCTTCCTTTGGTTGCTAGACGAATATCTCGCTTACGCCATAAATGACGCGAGTTGGTGAAAGCTAGTCAAGCCTTCTGTATCCGTGTTGAGATTTCGTCACACACCAGACTACAAGGGCTGATGAGACTCCCAAGATAAGTGAAGCGGTCGACGCACTCAACTAATTCACTCCCTATCATTAGTTCAGGTGTCGATGCAACCCAATCCTGAAGTAACATTTTGCACTTCGAGCGAGAGAATCGCATCCCGAACATGCCTGCATAGTTGCTTATCGTGCAACTTGCAACAATCATTAACTTACTCGACTGATTGAATCCATCAGTAGTAGTGGTAAAATTGGTGGTAGCACTGGCAGTAATAGTAGAATTAGTAGAAACATCAGGAGCAGCATCGGTCACACCATAGGTAAAACCCTGATTAAATGTTGAACCAACGGGATTGCTTGCACTCACTGCCACATTGAAGGAAGATTCTGAGAGGAGAAACAAAATAACGTAGAATGATGAAATATTTAACAAATGTAGCTGATAAGTAGATAGAAAGATTAGAGTATAATACAGTGAAATAAATTTGGAAAGAGAAAAACGATAGGGACATGTAGAATTTAGAAGATTAGACTTTGGCAGAACACAAAGACTGGATGCACCTTCGCCATTGCAAACGATTTTGAGCCATGTCATTCAAGGTCTTTAACCATCGATTGCTATCATCTCGCAAATCTCAACCAGGTAGTCTACACCTACCAACATGGCTCACTCCACTTGTCAATGACTTCATGGATTTGTGCCACATTTTGGTCTGGCCGCCCCTAGCTTTCTTGCAACCTACTCCTACACCATAAAACATTGCATGTCGGGGCAGTCGGTGGTTGGGCATACGTAACACGTGTCCCAGCCATCTCAACTGATGAAGTTCCACTACTTCATCAATCGGTTTGCCATCATTACATAGTACCCGTTTCCTAACAACTGCATTATTTACTCGGTGGTCCCATCATATACGAGTAATGCTTCGAAGACATCTATGATCGAATACTAGTAGTCTATGAATGTCCTCTACTCTTATTGGCCATGTTTCACTGCCATAAAGTAGAACGGAACGAACTGCTGCACAGTAAACCCTTCCTTTGGTTGCTAGACGAATATCTCGCTTACGCCATAAATGACGCGAGTTGGTGAAAGCTAGTCAAGCCTTCTGTATCCGTGTTGAGATTTCGTCACACACCAGACTACAAGGGCTGATGAGACTCCCAAGATAAGTGAAGCGGTCGACGCACTCAACTAATTCACTCCCTATCATTAGTTCAGGTGTCGATGCAACCCAATCCTGAAGTAACATTTTGCACTTCGAGCGAGAGAATCGCATCCCGAACATGCCTGCATAGTTGCTTATCGTGCAACTTGCAACAATCATTAACTTACTCGACTGATTGAATCCATCAGTAGTAGTGGTAAAATTGGTGGTAGCACTGGCAGTAATAGTAGAATTAGTAGAAACATCAGGAGCAGCATCGGTCACACCATAGGTAAAACCCTGATTAAATGTTGAACCAACGGGATTGCTTGCACTCACTGCCACATTGAAGGAAGATTCTGAGAGGAGAAACAAAATAACGTAGAATGATGAAATATTTAACAAATGTAGCTGATAAGTAGATAGAAAGATTAGAGTATAATACAGTGAAATAAATTTGGAAAGAGAAAAACGATAGGGACATGTAGAATTTAGAAGATTAGACTTTGGCAGAACACAAAGACTGGATGCACCTTCGCCATTGCAAACGATTTTGAGCCATGTCATTCAAGGTCTTTAACCATCGATTGCTATCATCTCGCAAATCTCAACCAGGTAGTCTACACCTACCAACATGGCTCACTCCACTTGTCAATGACTTCATGGATTTGTGCCACATTTTGGTCTGGCCGCCCCTAGCTTTCTTGCAACCTACTCCTACACCATAAAACATTGCATGTCGGGGCAGTCGGTGGTCGGCATACGTAACACGTGTCCCAGCCATCTCAACTGATGAAGTTCCACTACTTCATCAATCGGTTTGCCATCATTACACAGTACCCGTTTCCTAACAACTGCATTATTTACTCGGTGGTCCCATCATATACGAATAATGCTTCGAAGACATCTATGATCGAATACTAGTAGTCTACGAATGTCCTCTACTCTTATTGGCCATGTTTCACTGCCATAAAGTAGAACGGAACGAACTGCTGCACAGTAAACCCTTCCTTTGGTTGCTAGACGAATATCTCGCTTACGCCATAAATGACGCGAGTTGGTGAAAGCTAGTCAAGCCTTCTGTATCCGTGTTGAGATTTCGTCACACACCAGACTACAAGGGCTGATGAGACTCCCAAGATAAGTGAAGCGGTCGACGCACTCAACTAATTCACTCCCTATCATTAGTTCAGGTGTCGATGCAACCCAATCCTGAAGTAACATTTTGCACTTCGAGCGAGAGAATCGCATCCCGAACATGCCTGCATAGTTGCTTATCGTGCAACTTGCAACAATCATTAACTTACTCGACTGATTGAATCCATCAGTAGTAGTGGTAAAATTGGTGGTAGCACTGGCAGTAATAGTAGAATTAGTAGAAACATCAGGAGCAGCATCGGTCACACCATAGGTAAAACCCTGATTAAATGTTGAACCAACGGGATTGCTTGCACTCACTGCCACATTGAAGGAAGATTCTGAGAGGAGAAACAAAATAACGTAGAATGATGAAATATTTAACAAATGTAGCTGATAAGTAGATAGAAAGATTAGAGTATAATACAGTGAAATAAATTTGGAAAGAGAAAAACGATAGGGACATGTAGAATTTAGAAGATTAGACTTTGGCAGAACACAAAGACTGGATGCACCTTCGCCATTGCAAACGATTTTGAGCCATGTCATTCAAGGTCTTTAACCATCGATTGCTATCATCTCGCAAATCTCAACCAGGTAGTCTACACCTACCAACATGGCTCACTCCACTTGTCAATGACTTCATGGATTTGTGCCACATTTTGGTCTGGCCGCCCCTAGCTTTCTTGCAACCTACTCCTACACCATAAAACATTGCATGTCGGGGCAGTCGGTGGTCGGCATACGTAACACGTGTCCCAGCCATCTCAACTGATGAAGTTCCACTACTTCATCAATCGGTTTGCCATCATTACACAGTACCCGTTTCCTAACAACTGCATTATTTACTCGGTGGTCCCATCATATACGAATAATGCTTCGAAGACATCTATGATCGAATACTAGTAGTCTACGAATGTCCTCTACTCTTATTGGCCATGTTTCACTGCCATAAAGTAGAACGGAACGAACTGCTGCACAGTAAACCCTTCCTTTGGTTGCTAGACGAATATCTCGCTTACGCCATAAATGACGCGAGTTGGTGAAAGCTAGTCAAGCCTTCTGTATCCGTGTTGAGATTTCGTCACACACCAGACTACAAGGGCTGATGAGACTCCCAAGATAAGTGAAGCGGTCGACGCACTCAACTAATTCACTCCCTATCATTAGTTCAGGTGTCGATGCAACCCAATCCTGAAGTAACATTTTGCACTTCGAGCGAGAGAATCGCATCCCGAACATGCCTGCATAGTTGCTTATCGTGCAACTTGCAACAATCATTAACTTACTCGACTGATTGAATCCATCAGTAGTAGTGGTAAAATTGGTGGTAGCACTGGCAGTAATAGTAGAATTAGTAGAAACATCAGGAGCAGCATCGGTCACACCATAGGTAAAACCCTGATTAAATGTTGAACCAACGGGATTGCTTGCACTCACTGCCACATTGAAGGAAGATTCTGAGAGGAGAAACAAAATAACGTAGAATGATGAAATATTTAACAAATGTAGCTGATAAGTAGATAGAAAGATTAGAGTATAATACAGTGAAATAAATTTGGAAAGAGAAAAACGATAGGGACATGTAGAATTTAGAAGATTAGACTTTGGCAGAACACAAAGACTGGATGCACCTTCGCCATTGCAAACGATTTTGAGCCATGTCATTCAAGGTCTTTAACCATCGATTGCTATCATCTCGCAAATCTCAACCAGGTAGTCTACACCTACCAACATGGCTCACTCCACTTGTCAATGACTTCATGGATTTGTGCCACATTTTGGTCTGGCCGCCCCTAGCTTTCTTGCAACCTACTCCTACACCATAAAACATTGCATGTCGGGGCAGTCGGTGGTTGGGCATACGTAACACGTGTCCCAGCCATCTCAACTGATGAGGTTCCACTACTTCATCAATCGGTTTGCCATCATTACCTAGTACCCGTTTCCTAACAACTGCATTATTTACTCGGTGGTCCCATCATATACGAGTAATGCTTCGAAGACATCTATGATCGAATACTAGTAGTCTATGAATGTCCTCTACTCTTATTGGCCATGTTTCACTGCCATAAAGTAGAACGGAACGAACTGCTGCACAGTAAACCCTTCCTTTGGTTGCTAGACGAATATCTCGCTTACGCCATAAATGACGCGAGTTGGTGAAAGCTAGTCAAGCCTTCTGTATCCGTGTTGAGATTTCGTCACACACCAGACTACAAGGGCTGATGAGACTCCCAAGATAAGTGAAGCGGTCGACGCACTCAACTAATTCACTCCCTATCATTAGTTCAGGTGTCGATGCAACCCAATCCTGAAGTAACATTTTGCACTTCGAGCGAGAGAATCGCATCCCGAACATGCCTGCATAGTTGCTTATCGTGCAACTTGCAACAATCATTAACTTACTCGACTGATTGAATCCATCAGTAGTAGTGGTAAAATTGGTGGTAGCACTGGCAGTAATAGTAGAATTAGTAGAAACATCAGGAGCAGCATCGGTCACACCATAGGTAAAACCCTGATTAAATGTTGAACCAACGGGATTGCTTGCACTCACTGCCACATTGAAGGAAGATTCTGAGAGGAGAAACAAAATAACGTAGAATGATGAAATATTTAACAAATGTAGCTGATAAGTAGATAGAAAGATTAGAGTATAATACAGTGAAATAAATTTGGAAAGAGAAAAACGATAGGGACATGTAGAATTTAGAAGATTAGACTTTGGCAGAACACAAAGACTGGATGCACCTTCGCCATTGCAAACGATTTTGAGCCATGTCATTCAAGGTCTTTAACCATCGATTGCTATCATCTCGCAAATCTCAACCAGGTAGTCTACACCTACCAACATGGCTCACTCCACTTGTCAATGACTTCATGGATTTGTGCCACATTTTGGTCTGGCCGCCCCTAGCTTTCTTGCAACCTACTCCTACACCATAAAACATTGCATGTCGGGCAGTCGGTGGTTGGGCATACGTAACACGTGTCCCAGCCATCTCAACTGATGAAGTTCCACTACTTCATCAATCGGTTTGCCATCATTACACAGTACCCGTTTCCTAACAACTGCATTATTTACTCGGTGGTCCCATCATATACGAGTAATGCTTCGAAGACATCTATGATCGAATACTAGTAGTCTATGAATGTCCTCTACTCTTATTGGCCATGTTTCACTGCCATAAAGTAGAACGGAACGAACTGCTGCACAGTAAACCCTTCCTTTGGTTGCTAGACGAATATCTCGCTTACGCCATAAATGACGCGAGTTGGTGAAAGCTAGTCAAGCCTTCTGTATCCGTGTTGAGATTTCGTCACACACCAGACTACAAGGGCTGATGAGACTCCCAAGATAAGTGAAGCGGTCGACACACTCAACTAATTCACTCACTATCATTAGTTAATGTAGCTGATAAGTAGATATAAATATTAGATTTTCGTTTCTTTTACATGTTTTTATTAATGTTTATATAGGTGCAACGTAATAACATAGTCATCGAGTTCTGAAGGAGGTTAGTGTTTTCAAATTTATCATTTGATTAAAGACTAGCTTTAATTTCATACAATATATATTCTAATGAAAAACTGATCAACATGTTTATGAATGTGTTTTAATTATTTTGAATCGCATCTCCGCTCTCTGAAATATCTTTATGAGACAGCATAAAAACATATAAGCAAATAATAATTTACTAGGCATAGAAAAAACATGTAAAACAATATAATCGTTTTAAAGTTCATAAGTAATACAGAAGCTTTCATAGTATTTATTGACTTTAATACGCCTATAAAAAATTCAAATATGATTGTATAGCACACCCTATATTTTCTTTCAGTATCATAATAAATATCAAATAAGGCAAGAATAATCATTTTTTCTTTTAGACATGTTCTCTTGTAGCCAACTCCATTTTGTAATACGTTATCTCATTAAACCCTGAATTAGTAACGTTAAGTAAGAGTGTACGTAGCAATAAAAAACAAGGCTTCTCAATATGTCTGGAATTTAAATAACGATCTTTTCTAAGAACTATATAGTGGTAAATCAATCGGAAGAAATTTCAAGAGAAAATTTAATAAACTAGTTTGTTGGAGTATACAAATAAATATACGCCTAACTGGTAGTGGGATTATATTCTGGAAGAAGCTACGAGATGAATTAACAAGAAATAAAGATGAATGATACTGAATCACCACCCCGTAGCTATATCTGGTGGAACTTTTAAGTGCTGCGACACTGATCTCTGCTCTTCACTAGATCAGATAAATTGTCGCTTGTCATCACCAACCAACATACTCTTGGTAGTGATAGGTAATGCTTCAAAATGGTGTTTCTACTTAAAAAAAATCCATCCCATTAATTCATGATCTCAGTAACATTACAAACGAATTTGTTCTTGTTCTGGACAAAAGTACTAGATAAATTACAGCTGTACCGAGTATGTGCAACAGGTAGGTAAAATTCCGATATGATTAAACAATAAGTAGAAACATATGGACTCGCAGATAAGTACTGAACAATATTACCCACCACAATAAAGATTGGAGACCAACAGTATCAGGTAAATATGCCAAGAAATAGACATCAATGTATGTAGATGAATAAGTTTTACTCTGACAAGATAAGTTACAATTTCAATTCCACATTACCGAGAAAAGTGACTACATGGATACAAGACATTCACGCATACAATGTCAGAAGTCAATACAAACAAAATTGTACTACCGGGTATTCTGGAAGGTCACTTCGCTTTCGTCGGTCGAACGATTGTAAAAAAAATTTCGTCCAGTGAACATAACTTCGGTTTAGTTGGAGCGGGTAATCTTATACATTTATGATATTAATTCAAATAAGAATTCGGTCTTCGAATGCTCCTATCCTTGTAGTAACGTATGTGTCGCCATGGTGGCTTTTATTGATGGCACTTCAGTTTCAGTTTCACTATGGAAGGGAGAGGAGGCTTGACGGCCTGCGTTAGTCCTGTCAATGATGGTCTCTCAGCTGATCCAACTTTCTTTTGAAGGAGTCAACGGATGGAGCTTCAACCACGTGCTGAGGCAATGAATTCCACTCGCTGATTATTCGATGGGAAAGTCGGTAGTCAGCTGACAAGTAATTCGTTCTGGACTTGTGAACTTTATTGGAGTGTCCTCGTAGATTTTCTGTTTTGAAAGACAAGAAAAATTAGGGCATATCAGGTGCAAATTTGTCATTAAGCAATTTGAAAACTGTAATCAAGTCGCCTCTGATTCTTCTATATGACAACGGGAATAGGCTTAGCTTGGTCAGTCTAGTACCATACGGGAGCTTCGCTATTCCGGGAATCAGCTTAGTTGCCATTTTCTGGACCCTTTCCAAGAGTTCACTGGCTTTTTTTAGGCAGGGGCTAGCTGCTTGTATGCAGTACTCAAGTTTAGGGCGTACGAATACTGTATACAAAGTCAGAAACGTTTTAGCGTCGAGATGACTAAAAGCCCTGCGTATGGACCATAAAGTCCTAAAACCTATGGCGGCTATTGCACGGCAGTGTGCAGTAGTCTTTGAGTATTGGCTAACGGTGACTCCTAAGTCATTGTGTGTCTGGAAAATAGGTAACTCAGTGTTATTCATCGTGTATGTATCTGTACCCTGGTGGCCAATATGCATCACAATACACATGGAAGTGTTTATCGGCAATTGCCAAGTTTGGGACCATTCAGATAATCTCTCCAGGTCATTTTGGAGTTCTAAGCTATCGCCCTTACTTCGTATCGCCCTCCACATCTTGACATCATGAGCATAAAGAAAGATCGATGAGGATAGCAGACAAGGGAGGTCATTCATTAGCTTATATAACAGACGATTATGCGGAACTTTGACGAAAGCTTTGCTGAAATCGATGTAAGTTACGTCCATAGGTAATTTTTGGTCCTTAAGAGCGCACCAGCTTTCAGGAGCGACTAATAAGTTAGTGAGACAAGAGTAACCTGTTCTAAAACCATGCTGCTTCTCCAGTTTACATCGAGATACGTAAACAACTCCTTCCGAATAATCTTTTCTAAGATTTTAACAACCACACTAGTTAGGCTAATTGGTCGGAAATTCTCAGGCTTATGTTTTGTACCTGTTTCGAAGACAAGAATTACTATGGCGTTCTTCCAGTCTTTTGGTAGACGACCCTGGGTTACGGATAGATTAAAACATACACTTAAAGGGTTCGCAACAAAGTTAGCTAATTCCTTAAGTAACCTAGGATGCATTTCATCGTGTCCAGTGGATTCGCCTATGTCAAGCTTAACTAGCAGACCAAAGACATCGAGTTATTTAATGGTTACGCTGTCCAGTGCTCGTGTGGGGGGATTTTCATGGACTGGTGAGAAGGGTGTTTCTATGGTGTATACATGGCTTAAGTATTTAGCAAATATTTAAGCTTTGCCAAAGTCGTCCTCCACTAGTGATGAGGCAGTACTGTCTCCCCATAGTGAAGGAACATTTCTTCTTTTTTTGTCCTTTGGTTTATATACGAATACAGGCGTTTAGGGCATTCTAATGATTCCTTAACGTTTTTCTCTTCGTACAGCTTTCTGGCCTTACGGAGGGTCGAGGCACACGTATTCCGAGCCTTTCGATACTGATATTTTGCCTCGTCAGTCCCCAGTAACCTAAATCTATCCCACATTTCCCTTTTTTCACCGAGAAGGATGCGAACCTCCCTACTGAACCACGGTGGGGAGTTTCTCGGTCTCTTAGGTGTAGTCCAAGGGATGTGTGGGGCGGTAACATTTAAGCATAAATTCCGGAATGCGTCCCAAGCCGTTTCGATTGATGACTCCTGGTCTATTTTCCAATCTACTGATGATGCTGAGTGCATGATGTTTGGTATGTTTGCTTTCCAGACGTTAGATCTGTATTGAGCTGAAGCGTGCTCGTGATCGACAGTTATATGGAAGTCAAAGGTTAAAACTGCATGATCGGTTTTTCACGATGAATGTTTAAATTCGGTGTGACAACAGCCATAAGTTGTATCAAATCGTTAAAAGATACTTTTAAAGAGGAATAAATGGCCAGATTTGAGAACGAACTATCCACATTGAGTTTTTAATAAGCAAGATACTTCTAGAGACAGTTTCAGGAGCTGGCATCTGTATACTATACAGAATAGGACGAAAAATGGATTCTGATAGTATTGTGGCGACAGAGAACTCCCGGAAATAAATAGCTCTGTACGTTCTCGACATTTAATACTTACCTAATTGGTCTTATTCAACTCACCTAGGTGAAGGTGTTCGATCACGCTTCCTCACTAGATCCTAAGTGGATACTCTTTTCTCAATTTGTTCTACAATCGCTAGCCAGTTTAAATCAGTCACATCTCGATATAATCTGTCAAGTATATCTTCGAACCTCTTCTCTTCTGACTTCTGATTTCACTGAGTTAGCACGTTTCGATTTCCACAACAAATCCCCTTATAGAAAGGGAGCAATGAATAGTGACCTCAGATAGTGGGAAATCAGTGGATTTTGTTTACGTATAGTTTACCAAAGTATTTGATAACGTGCCAACAAATAGACTTTTCTTGAAGCTGGCACTGCCGGACCTCCCCCAAATGACTTAAGGATTTCCCGATAGGTAGTAGAGAGAAAGTAAGAATAAATTCCAATTGCTCCACCTGGAAACCAGAACTTACTGCAGAACCGTAAGGGCAGACTCCAACAATTCAGTTAACTGGTTTAAATAGTGGTTGATTTCTATCGACACGGCGAAATGTGTCTACATAGACTTTGGGGATACTAATGTAAATAGACACAGTATAGGGAATATGCTGTACTCGTCGTGCGGTCTTACAAGGATCCTGTGGTGACACTGAGTCATGATCTTAAGATCACGGCCCTATGCCGGAAGGTCGCACGTAAGGGATTTGGAAGCCTGTAGGCCTCAATACGGATATTCACCATGTAAGATACTTTCATGTTCACTACAGTGTACAAAACCTTAGTGAGAACCAAACTTGAAAACTGTGTTCAGGCTGCAAGCCGCTGTTAAAAAGATGAACTGAATATCTAGGAGAAAGCACAGAAGGCAGCTATACGTGTAAATCCAGAACTACGGGGTCCACCATACAAAGAGTAGCTTGAAAAGTTAGAACACTTTACTCTATCCTATCACATATTAGGAGATCTGATTTCGATCTATAGAATACTAGGAAATGATTTTAGAGGGCGATGGCTGCAATCCACCCATGTTTGTGTGGCAGAACATTTTGTGTCAGGCTGTTTATAGATGAGAACAAGCCAATCGATCTGTGATATTGAGGTTGTTCTCCCATATTCACCATTCAGACTCATGTTTCGAATTTTTATGCTGGATTAACTATTCTACTAAGACAACCTATAACATGCTAACTCGGACTTTTACATGAAAACTGTGTATCAGGCATCGGATGATGAAAAGAAAAAAACAGACCTTAAAGGATATGGTTGTTATTTCACTAAACACTTTATTCTCTATATGCACTCTCTGTTCTAATAAACAGTCTTCCTCATTTCAATCTTGACTTCCCTTCCTTCATTCGAACCTACTCCACCTTGATAAATATCACAACTCATTGTTTTTTATTACTGCACTATCTCATCTGGAGCCACTGATCACGTTTCAATCTAGCAACAACATCTAGTGTCAATTTAATCGAACACTTTATCATACCTCTGTCTGTTCCACTAATAAATGTTGGGCATTTTTAATCGTTCATATCCAAGTGCCTTGTTGCTCCTCGGTTTTACTTTTTTTCTCTTCGCGATCTTGCTCTGAGAGAAAAGTTGAGGAACTCTTGACATCTGGAACAAACTCGACGTACATTCTTTCCCAAGGTCATACTTCACACCAAGGGAGACAGCCATTTCTATCGGAATACTGTTTTCAACACTTTATTTTATAATTACACAATTCCATACTTTCTTCTAAACTACCTTCATTTATACAGTTCCTTACCCACTCATACCTTGCCCACACTTATTTTTCTTTAACACATTAGTATGTTCTTACCTAATAAATACTTCAGTAACAGACAAATAGACTAAATGGTTATACCTTAACTATTCCTCCATGAATATTGTGTGCTCTGCTTTTCGTCCTTCCTTTTTCTTGCACCTTTTTCAGCCTCCTGCAGATACTCCACCGAAAACAGATATGGCACGGGTGACTTCGTCCTACACCGTTATTAAAGCCTCAGATATTCCGGAGGGATATAAGGTCGAAGCTTCTAAAATCTCCCAATTTCGCATGTATCTATTCTCGACCATCAGTTGTATGCTGCAACGGTACCATCATAAAGTGCGCCAAGTGTGAAATTGATATGTTTCTTACGAAATCCATTTACATTCATATCTTATGCAATATCAACCCAGCTGAGTAATTTTCAACAGTGAAAATTGTAACTTTTTTAACAATTTGATCTTGCCTGTAAACCGGCATGCTTCATGTAACAATCTGTTATTTGAGAATAAATTATTATTATTACCTACTTATTCCTGTTACCCCTCGTCGAGGAGCATAGGCCGCACACCAGCATTCTCCATCCAACTCTGTCCTGAGCCTTCCTTCCCAGTTCGTTCCAGTTTCTATTCATCCTTTTCATATCTGCTTCTATTTCCCGGCGTAATGTGTTCTTTGGCCTTCCTCTATTCCGCTTCCCTTCGAGATTCCAAGTTAGGGATTGCCTCGTAATGCACGTTGGGGATTTCCTAAATGTATGTCCGATCCACTTCCAACGTCATTTCCTAATTTCCTTTTCAGATGGAAGCTGGTTTGTCCTCTCCCATAGAACGCTGTTGCTGATAGTATCCGGCCAATGGATGTTGAGTATTTTGCGTAGAAAACTGTTGATAAATGCTCGTAAAATATCGGGAATCCTGAAACTGAAACTCCATACAAAGAGTAGTAACGGAGATTTTCGTTTCCTCCCTGGTGAAGCATTCACATAACTGTCCCTTTAGCGCATGGGTCTGATTTATTACCCGGGATATAATGATCTGAAGGCTTGCATATCTAACCAGAGTATATATTTAGCTTAGTAGGATTTATCATATTGTTGTTATTATTATTCACAAACATCTTGCGGGTACTTAAGTGCTGTGAAGAAACCATTTCAGGTTTGTTCAAAAATGCAATAATGCACAAGTGTCAAT